CAGTCGAGCCCACATATAACAGCCCCACTTAAGGGGGGATGCTACACCTTCCAAAAACTCTTTTATTTTTGCGAGTACCTCAGTCAAATTTGGAAAGCCTATGTAGACTGTACTGCTGATTTCAAAAATCTAATTCTTTTTTTGCTGTGACAATTAGTTTTAAAGATATAATGAACTGCGACTTTTTCAATTAAGGCCTAATTAGCTAATTAACTGTAACTTGGATATTGATGTGCAACCTATAGAACCAATTCGGTATGTTCACAGTGTGCAATAAAGTATAAATCATTGTTCTGGGCTATTTCGAAGCAAAGTTGTGGGATGTTGAATATGACATGAAAAATTTCCCCATCTACACTTGAAACAAAAGATCCATTTAGAGAATTTTCTCCAAAAATTATTACAATAAAACTTACTTTACGACACATCCCCTGCATTTATCTTCGAAACAAAAAAGAAATCGTAATGATAACCCAGATAGAACAAGAGATATTGCTCCGGCATAATGGGAAGCACATGAAAATTGTCGTTTTGAGAAATCGAGAAAAAACGTGGGCACACATTTTTATTGCAGAAGATGCAACAAGACAACCTCAAAACGCACCAGAAGCATAGTCTGAATGCATTCTGTGCTCATGCCTCCTCTTCACTAGCTTCCGGAGTTCCAATGAGGCTGTTCTTTTCTTGTTGGAGACAATGCTGCGACGGTGGTCTTTTTCTCTCGCTCTCCTGGCACCAGTACTTGTCGCATTCATGTCCATTTCACCTAAGATTGCCGTTGCAGAATTCAAATTGCCCGTGTTGAAGCGCAGCACTGCTTCTGCAACAGCTGCTTCAACAGCGAACAGGGACGCATGGTGCTCCTTGGGGGCCAAACTCCAGATTACCGAATGTAGGCTCTCGTTGGAGTTCTGCGTTTTGCCGCGTTCGCACCTCTGAAGCAGGGCTCTTTCCGAAAGCCGGGTATAAACCGGTAGTAATGCCTCTGCCACGTCTTTCGGTAGATTGTAGGCATGCCTGGGGTCGGGCTCACCCTTTGCTTTTGCGGCATTGTGCCGACACCATGAAGTTTCACCAGCTGGGCACAGACTGTGGTCCGAGCATTCATCAGTGGAGGTGACGTGGCGGTATGTGGCCATCACAGCCTTTTGCATCTCGCCCACGTCACCTTCATGCGATTTCAGAGCCCGGCCATATTATGTGCTCAGCCTGGTGATCAGCTCACCTGTGAGCCTGCCTTTCCCACCAAGGCCTCTTTTCCCATCGCACTTTTGTTTCTGCACCAGGTTTCTCAATGCGGTGCCCATCCGTTTCTGTACATGATTAATACAGTCTTCCTTCTGCACGTCAATGTAACCATACACCTTGGCGTCTTGTATGGCGCAAAATGTCCTAGAGTCTCCATCAGACAGCATAGTTGTGTAGCGCAGGCCATGGCGTTCAAGCGACCTCTGAAATAGAATTAGAGCCGCCTCCACTTCCATTTGCCCCGCTTTGCTGTTCGTATTTTTTTGGCATTTGTGGTTAGCCTTCCATTCTTGATAGCCCTCACTACTAGGCTTTGGGCCCACCTCGCAGCCTAGGCAAAAGTTGGAAAGAACGACGTAGTCCAACACGTAGCCACTAAATAATTCGATAACTGTGCCCACGCCGATGTGGGAAGAATGGCCTCGCGTCTTCCACGTGCCGTCGTAGCTAACGGCAATATTGCCCCGGTGGCCGAAGCACAAGTCATCATAAATTGTTCTAACCTTTTCCGCACATTCGTTCATAGCGGACTCAGCCGCTCGCGTTGCAGCGGGTGCCAGCGTGTTCTTCAAATGCCGCTGAAACGTCTTGCGGTGCATACCGCGGTGTGAGATGCCCATTGTTGCGAAAATATCGTTCATTTTCGTTTGGCCGTTGCCGGTAGCCACCATCGCCCTCGAAGCGAGAAGATTTACTTCAAACGGATTGCACGTTTTCGTGCCGTTCGCGCGGGGCGAAGTCCATTCATTCGCGATCTCGCCGCACCTTTCACACTGCACTAGCACTTTCACGGCAAGTCCGTAGTCCCGATCCCCTCTGACGATCGTAGCCGGTCCGTGGCAGGCTTTGCAACACAAGGCACCCATTATCGCGTTTAGGATATCTAGATGCATAAGCAGATAAGGAGCAGCGTGGTCCGAGTCCTGTGCGGTTGCCTCGCTACAACTCGCGGTGAAAAAGTCAATTTTCCGTGCAGTTGCTGGCGCCGATGGAAGCCGGTCGAGCGTCGCTTTCTCCCGGGCATGATTTTCTTCAACTTCGGCGTTTGTCACCACCTTGGCGTCGATTCGTAGTCGTCCGGAGTTCGCTTCACCGTCATCGTCGTCGGAGGCAACGCGCTCGGTCGCACCATCGCTGAACGGCCGCGGAGCGTCGACACATCGTTCGTCGGAGTCAACCAAGGGCTCTGATGACTTCGTAGACTTTCTCCCACGACCTTTGCGTTTCCTGCGACCAAATGCGTGCAGGGTCCGACACTTTTTTGCGTTTCCAGGCATGGCGATACGATCAGAAGCTTCAGAGTGCTCTGCCGATTTCGAGGAGTCACAGCGGTAACCCTTTCAAAATGGCGTCGGGTCGCGTATGCAGGCGCAAGCCGCGAGCTTCCAGCCAACCGGAAAGCGCCATTTCAGTCACGTGCGCCGTTTAGCCAATGGCAGTGAGCGCGGCTCTTCGTCTTTGAGGCCCCGTTTTTCGAGCCGGGGAAACGCTCAATGTTGCTTACTGAATAAAAAAAAACAGCTGAAAACGCGTTCTTTCAAACAAGACCAAAATGGCGCCGATCGAGCGCGTAGTTCCCGCGTATCGTAGAGCCGAAACCTGCGCTATTCACCCTCAATTTAAAGGGCAGGACGCCCGTTTTCGGTTTTTTAAAGTTGAATAACGATAAAAGTTGATGGTATTCGGCTATGAAATTTTGTAAATAGGTGCGCAATGATGTCGGGAACGCGAAAAGAAGGTCCGCGAAAACTCGATTTTCTGGCTGATTTTCGGTCCCGAAGTGCCGCGTCCCCCCTTAAAACGAACTTTTGCTTAAAACGAACAATATCCACGTGACCGTCAAAACATGCATTAGTTCAATGGCGCAAAATCGCACTTACAACAAACGTCTCTTAGTGCTGCCGATATGTTACAGCGAACGGAGTCAGCGGTCTGCCAACTTCTTAAGAAACCAATTTCGACCACCGATCAGGCATTGGCGAGGTGCCCGTACATTCTTATTGTTAAACGCCGGCCCTGCCTCCCCGTCGCTCTAGTTGCGGCTCTCCCCGACCGCTTTTTGTGACGCTCCGCACCATCCATTGTTTCCCCGCTACTCTGAGCACCCCGCATCGCCAGACGAGGCCCGTGTTTTCACACTGCCACCGATCTTTCTAAGACCGGTCGGCCATCTACACCGTTTTTGATCGCTGGTACTGTCGTTGACGTTGCCGGCCTGGAGTGACCAAACCATTTGCCAACATCCGATAGTCTGCTTCTAGTGCACGTGCGTACGCTACCCTACCGACTCTGATAATTTGCGATTCATTTCGTGTTTAGGACTTGTTTTTGCTCACTTTGCACTCAACTCGGCATGCCTTCCGCGCACGTGCGGTAGTGCGAAAACGGCTGTTACTTTGCGTAGAATGAATCGCAAAGTATCGAAGTTCGTAAGGCCACGCAAACCCGGCGGTGCAACAAAACGATTTTTTGACCACGCCCACCGATTCTTCAAACATCGCCGCGCGCACCAAATCAGGTGGCCATGCACTCTTTCCAAGTTTTTCTACGTGCGAGTTTCGCGGACCATTCAAGCAAGCTACCCAACCTGCCTCCTTCCCGTGTGTTTTGGTTTTCAAGGTCGCCCTCCCCTGCATCCTCCCCTCTTATCGCAACTCCTTACCCTTCTCTCGCAAGTCTGCTATCCTCTCTTGATCACAACCCCTTCGCCAGTCTTCACCGCTCCGCGACGCCCGCCACGCTGGCTCGAATTAGTTTCGTTTTCTGACTGGAAACGGGCGCAGAGCTGTTCTACGCGTTCTGGCATGTGGGTCGTGTGTGCGCGTCTTGCTCACTCTTGGTGTGCGTGTGTGGTCATGATGGTCGATGGGAGGACTAGCACGGTTTTTTTTTGTTTGTTTGTTTTTTCGTGCCGCTCAACAAAACATCGAAAGTGTGACCGCTTGGCTTGAGCGCAATTTGCGCGCTAGGTGCCGCTAGTTGGCTGCCGTTAGGTACCTGGCAGCCAACTTTCCGCTTTGGCCGTCCCGGTATTCAGCAGTGGAGATGGTGAATATTTCGTGGGCGGTGGTGATGGCTACATGCGCGCGAAACTGTTTCCGCGAGGCCGACTTCGTCGACGTCAGGCCCGATGCCGAGCCTGAAGCTTCCGAACTGTGGCAGCAATTTGTGGCAGCGCGTCGGCGACTCCTACCTGGGAGAGCGGGTGAGGCATTTGTTACAATGGTTTAGTTATGGCTGATGATGATGCCGACATTGCGGAATCGTGCACGGATTGGGGCATTGTGAATGAAGTACGTGGCGACAGCGATTTGGTGGAATCGGATTGCGAGAACGATGAAACTTTGGAGTCTATGCCTCATGCAGCTTATGCCACGGGCCTCGGCGAACGAGCACCCTGCCGTTTTAAGTGAACTCGAGACCACCCTTATCGCTTTTGCTATCCGAAACACGTGCATCACAGACTTTTCGGGGTTTTCACTCGCAACTTTTTTTTAAAAGCTGTGTTTCATTTACTACGAACTTCGTGATACATCGAATGGATGCCGCGTCACGCTCAGGTTCGTTGTAAGCAGGCTCGACTGTAGCAAAGTATTTTCATGGCTTATGAGGTGTGAGTGTATGTCTGTGAACGTGAACAACAGCACCTGGGGTCGTAATTCGCGTTCTCTCAAAGGTAACTTGCTTGCAAGTCCACGAGTGTTGTGCCCATGCAAGCGTGACACCTCTCCTTCTGTTACTACATCCAACAGAGTCCAAAGGTCCGGCCCCCGTGGTGGTCGTGGAGTGGCTGGGCCGCTCCGGTGGTGGCAGCGGCAAGGGGGCCAACCGGCGTCCCTACGAGCTGGTGGAAGGGGTGCAGCTTGGTTGGCCCGTGCCCACCGTGCAGCGCCTCTGGCTGGGACCCTCCCTGGACGACAAAAAGTGCCGTCTGCGTGCTTTCCTCAGCTGCCTGCGCAGTGATGTGCCGCTCATGCTCAACACGGCCTACGTGCCCCAGCACCTGCTCATCCCCTGCGCAGTGCTCAGATTCCTCATGTCTCAGGTACACCCCCACCCGCCCCTGTGCTACTGGTTACTCACTTTCTATCGGTTACAGTGGTAACGGCTCAACTGTCACCTCCTCTACTTCACAATTCAGCTCACTTGAGCTATTCATGCGAAGTTAACATCCCTAGAAAGCAAAAGGCAATCATACTGCTGGCCATACTTTTTTTTATTTAACTCATACCTCTTTATAACAAAAATGGACATAACGAAATATTGCGTGTAATGAAGTAAATGAAGAATAGTCTTACAGTGTTAGCAATACTCTTTATAATGAATGTTCGGGTACAGTATAACCTCGTTACAACGGATCTACTTACAACAGACTTTCGGATACAACATACCGATTGGCATAATTATGTCAACCACCTTATTTGTTCCATTGTTTGAGCTTTGTTTACTACGGATTTTGGTACAGCAGACATTACTGTACAGTCCATTATAACGATATCGAGGATACCTGAAAATATATCGTTATAATCGATCATTTTATCAGGACTGTCGTAAAAAATCGTCACTGGCCGTACCTTTCGTAGCTCTAGGCTCGATTTCGCTTTTTCCACAAGTGACAGATGATGTAGATTAAAGGCTGTCAAAAAAAAAAAAAACACTTTATTTTATATATTGATGAGCGTTTATGGTTTCGGCACGATGAAGTAGTCCTATATTCGAAGTTGCTACCGCGGTCATAAACGGGGCCGAAGAAGCACTGTGACTGTTCACCTCCTCGTCACTACTGTCGCTGCCGTCGCACAACGCCGGCGTCTGTCGCGACGATTGCCTCATCGGTGAGTTCCTCCCAACACGCGCTATCTGTGTCACCAGTAGCGATGTGCTCCCAAAGTTCGGCGAGATTCGCGGTTTCCGTGCAGGTCTCGCTGTCAATGAGGGGGGGGGGGGGGGGGAGGCTGGTCGTGACGCACAAAGCCTGGTTTCCTGAAGCAGTTTTGCTTGCTGGTCTGCTTCACCTTATACCACGTACCGTAAACAAAGCGCAAAATCGTTTGAAGGCTGATCTTGAATTCAAGGGGCCCGTCTGCATTGCCCCTGGCGTACTGGTAGCCGAGCAGTCAATCGCTAGCACCGTCCATCTCGAGCAGCCACTCCTCGGACATAATGCGGGTCATCCAGGCCTTCTTATTGCTGCGGTAGCCGACCAGGATGTGCTGATTTTTGAAGCAGGCAGGCTTCTTGTATGGCCCAATAACGAAGGGCTTCATCCGATGACTGCCATCCATGTTCACGCAGAACAATACGGTCACTCTAACCTTGAAGTGCTTACTGCGGGGACACGGATCACCTCTTAAAGCACGAGTCTTCGATGGCATCATTTGATAAAAAAGGGCAGTCTCGTCACAGTTATAAATATCATTGTCCGAGAAGCGCTCCATAAGTGCGGGCAGTTTGGTCTGCAGCCCATGCTGCTTCGCTTGGGAGTCCAGAGAAGCCACTTCCCCCACCATGTTTCTGTCAACAATTTCATGCCGCTCTTTGAACCTTTGTGTCCATGTGCCTTCTGGTTCGAAATCTGGCCGACCAAGCAGAAAAGCGATATTTTTTGCCTTTGTGGCAAGCATAGGCCCACTTTTCCAAAGATGTGCATAACCACTCGCTACAAAGTATCAAGCTGCAAGCTGTATTCACTGCAGTCCCGAAAAAGTTTAGATGCTGAAATCAGTGGCATGCACACATTCTGTGAAAGGATTGTCAGAAACCACTTGTAGAGCGCCTCTTCCCCGTCTGCATACAAAAGCTCCCGTACCCTCTTCCGCTCGTCAGCATAGCCACTGGATCCAGCTGTCAAAAATGCAGTGCTGCCAGCTTTGAGGATTGTGGATATCGCCGACTGTGCGAGCTCTTATTTTTTCACAAGGGTGCTCGTCTTGAATCCTTGTCACGAGTCTTGTAAACTTTTCAACTTCGTGTCAAGCGACACGGCCTTGCACTTAGTCAGCGCCATTTTAGCCGACGCTCAGCTCTGCGCATGCTGCTCGCGCGATGCAATTTCCAAGAAGGAGCGACTGGTTCAGTCCAGTCAGTGCGGCGGGCGGAACTCTGTGCACAGCTTTGCTTTTCACATTTTTTTTTTATTTTTTGCTCTCTCTCTTTCGTTGCAGCCACGGTGTTAGTCGCGGGCATCTGCGGAAACTTTTTTTTTTCTTTCTTTCTGCGTTGCGCCACGGCAACTCGCGATGTTCTCTCTGGCTTTCAAAATGGGCACGACGCCCTAGCAGCGCTTTGCTGCAATGGCGGTAAATACGAACTCGTCTACGCTAGCTTTTCATCTTGTCGCGTTTGTTTCAGTGGAACTTTTTGATGTGAATGTTACGATTGTTCTGAAACTTGCCGTTTAAACGGCAAAATTTTTATCATTGTATCTGATATGGGGTGGACAGCATATTGTTATATATGTTTTTTTTTTTTCCCATAGCCCCAATACAAAAAATGAGACGGTAAAGTCAACCCATCGTTATAACTAATATATTTTTATATGTGGTATCGTTATAAGTGAACTGCACTGTAGGATAAAAAATGGCGAAAATGTGAAACCTGCAAGGTGTTCAGGACTCCTTTACAGTGGACTTCCGTACAGCGGACATCCCAAATTAAATAACCTCCGCCTGAAACATCAGCATATTCTTGAGACGGGAATGGTGCACCACGGAATAGCGACGTACCGATTTAAAAACGAAGGCCGCCGATCTGCGGTTGTTTAACTATGCCTAACTGTGTGAAGAAAAAAAAAAAAGTCAGCGCACAGCGTGCTTGGTCTTGCATTTTGAAACGCCGACTCTCGACATTGCTAGCCGCTGCTCCGAGCAGTCGCTCCGTACCGAGCTTGGCCGGAAGGGGGGCGGGGGGGGGGATGCGATTCATCGCATTCGCATGTCTGCCAGTGCGACAGAAACTAAATGTGATAAAAAAAATCATTTTTTATGTCCTTGTTGAAAGTAAATTCGTTTGTGAGTAGCAATTCTATCTAGTTATAAGAGACCCATTGAGTGTTTATGCAAGTCTGTTGTAACAGTACTTCGCATTTACATACTCCTTTTATAACTGACCAAAATCCTCTCCACTGTGAAGGTCTGTTGTTATGAGGTTATATTGCATAGAAAACTTACTTTCTTGTAAGATGCAGCTTTGTTATAATGAGGTTTGAGTGTATTCCAAACCGTTGCATTGCATTTGTTTCTTTGTGCTTGTGGTAAAACCGTGGTCTTTTAGAAAGTGCCTTTCTGTCTCAACTGAAGTTTGTTCTCTTCCAAAAAAAAACAGGGTGGCCCCGGTGGCGCACCTGTGCTACGACGCCAGGAGCTCGATGCATTCCTGGCACAGGCAGTGTCGCCCCAGCTGATGGATGCCCAGAGCACCCAGGGAATGCAGCTACCCCTGGTGGCTGTCCGTGGCATTCAGCTCGCCTCTCTCTTCCTGCAGGTACGAATGTGGCGAATTGGTGTGCAGTCTTTTATGTTGTTCCTTTGACGATGTTGCAATAACAACCGATGCGGATCAAGAGAATTTGTTGTCGAGCTAGTTTGTTCACAACACTAAGCAGCAGAGCGCAAGTTTGGTATGGGACAGACAAGAGCACACACAGCACTGCCCCACCTCCTGCCTAAGTACAGTACAGCAAACATTAAAGGGGTACAGACACAAAAACTTTGGCCTCGCATTTTTATGCTGCATGGTGTTGCTGGGGTCCTGTTTGTCATAACACGACACATCGTTTGCTGCTGTGACAGATAATTAATTACAGACCCCTCATTACCAGTTCCGGTTCAAAAGAGCTCCAAGAACGAGGAGCTGCCGGGTGCAGCTCTTGACCACGTCAGCACGCAAAACTGTGACACACTTCCTGCATGGTCCGCATCAAGAATTACTTTTAAATAAGAAACGGTTTGGTGTTAGGCAGTGACTGTGTCGCCAAACACAAAACTTTCAAAGCGTGCGCCACGACCATGCACTTGCGACCGTCCACCTGAGAAGTATAGACTGCGGGAACGAGTGCGGTAAAAAAAAAAGGGCGGCTATCACGTTGTCATAACTTCTTTTATTGACTGCAGCGGGGGGACGTGAGGGAAGTAGAGGGCCCCCAAGGGTCCCCTTTGAGATTGTCAATGCCACGATGGAGTGTAGCACTCATTCAGACTTCACAATTAATTTCAAAAACCTTCCAAGCTATATTCGCTGTTCATATTTTAGAGATGGTATACAAATGTTCACGGGAATCGATCCCGCAGGCTATATCTGCTGCAAAATTTTGTTTGTACTCCTCTAATACATCATAAACTAAGCAAGCTTTTGGCAAATTGAAATACTGGTAAATGTTCAAAAATAAATAAATTAATCGAAAATACATACCTTGCAGTGTGAACTCGATATCTTTTTCTATCCCTTTTTAGGGGGAAGAGGGTTTTTGATTTCTTTATTTCTTGACCAAATTCAATGAAAAATGTAACACAGACAGTTTTTCAAGCTGATTTCAAAATTTTAATTGCTTTTGAAATTGGTTGGGTGGTTACAGAGATAATTCAAATTAATCCTATACTGTTTATCAGAACAATAGCAAGGCAATTATTGACCAGACTATTAATATTGGCATATGGCTGTATGATATTACAGGTATTATCAATTTTATAGCAATTTAAAGTTCTATCTCCGTATATCTCTATCATGTGATACAGTTAGTACCAAAATAATAATTTACAAAGGCTAAATTGAAAAATCTGTTCCTACATTTGCATAGCAGACATATGTAGCTACACGCCACCGCAAGATTTGTGGCTATATGTGCCGTGAAGACCAAGATATCGCTTTGGCAATTTTAAAAACACCAAAATCAGATTCTGAGTAAACGTCGAGAAACAAAATAGGCTCATATTTAATACAAAACATAACAGATTGTTTACAATATTCACAAAGTTATGGCATCAGTAGCCTCCAGGAACATAGTCTGTCTGTTTAGAGTCATTTCGGTGTTGTTTTCTTAGCACACGCTGCAAGTTTTCAGCAGAAGCATGCTTGTGTGCACATGCTTCAGTACGGTGGCGGCCTTTTTCACTCATGCTCTTGGTCAACTGTTGGCCTGGGTCTAGCTGTAGTTCTTGAAGTATGGCTGGAGAAGCTTTTTCATATCCAGAATTGAACTTCGTTACAGCCTCTGCCACAGTAGTTTGTACTGCAAACAATGATGCGTGTTTCTCCTTCGGCGCCACTGCCCAAATCATTGAGTGGAGACGCTCGTTGTTATTTTGGGTCTTCCTTCTTTGGCATCACCGAAGAAGTTATTCATCAAATGTTTATAAACTGGAAGAAGCTCCTCACATACATGGGGTGGCAGATTGTGGCGGTGTTTTTGGAGCAGGCTCACCTTTGGCCTTCGCTGCGTTTTGGTGGCACCATGAATCTGGGCCCTTTGGACAGAGAGCATGGTTTGAAGTGACATCGTTTGAGGTGGTGTGGTAGTATGTGGCCATCACTGCCTTGTGCATGGCCTTCACATCACCTTTACGCAATTTCAAGGCCCAGCCATAGTAGCAGCTGAGCTTGGTGATAAGCTCGCCAGTCAGCTTTCCTTTCTCGCCGAGACTCTGTACCAGAGGATTTCTGCTAGAAAACTAGCTTTCGCAGTGCTGTACCCATTCTTTTGTGTATGTTGTTAAATTTTCCTGGTCCACGGGTATGTATCCATACACTTTTGCATCTTGAAGAGCAAGGTAAGCACCGCTGTCGCCATCAGACAACAAGGTCGTGTACCGCAGCTTATGCTTCTGCAGCGATCTTTAGAAGAGGATCAGTGCCGCTCCCCAGCTTTTTTAAAAAGTCCGTGCTCTTGTAGAATGCATGTCCCTCCTTCCAAGCATGGTAGGCAGGGTCATTTTCTTTTGGTGCCTGTGCACACCCAGCACAGAAATTGCTGAGCACTATATAATCGAGCACAAATTTTGTGTACAGCTCAATTACTTTGCCAACGCCGATATGAGACGAGTGGCCGCGCGTCATCCATGTGCCGTCGTACAATATGGCGATGTTGTCCGGGCTGTTTATTTTCAGGTTACGGTACAAATCGTGTACCAACTGCGCATATGTCCCCATCAACTTTTCTGCCCCTTCGGTTGCTGCGCAGATGAGCTTCGTTTTCAAGTGTCCCTGCCACGTCTTATTGTGCATTCTTCTCTCTGAAATGTCCGCCGCAAAAATGTCATTCATTGCCGTTCGCTCGTTTCCGGTGCTCTGCATTACATGCTCCGCAAGGACGTTTATGACAAAGGGTCTGAGCTTCGCTTTGCCGCTCACGCACGGCGAGCTTCATCCCTCCACACCATCGCCGCAAATCGCGCATACGGCAACAAACTTCACAGCAAGGCCAAAATCCTGTTCACCTTTTTTTTCAGCGTGAGGCTACCACTCCAAATTGTACACTTTCAACTGGTAGACACCAGCAGCGCATTCATAGAGTCGTAACTAGCAAAGAAAAAACTTGTAGCGAGATCGTTGCTAGCTTGGGCAGCAGCGTCATCGCGATCCAAAAGGTCACGTTTTCGGGCAGCAGCAGGAGTTGAAGCAAGTACTTTAAGTTTTCTTTTTTTTTTTTAGCTTCGCTGTTTATACGCTGCAAATCTTTTGGCTGCAACACGAAGAGCCGCGACCACTGTCAGCAGCGCTTTGGGGGACTAGGCCTAGCACGTCCGCATGATCAGGAATAGGTGGTGGCACAGCAGCGCGTTTCTGGAAGTTGTACGAAGTCATCCTTTTTCTTCTGAATTTGTACTTAGTAGCGAACTTCGTCGACGGCGTCAACATCGTCTCGCATGCGAAAACACGACGCATACGATGTGTGCACAGTTGCCGCAGCGGCCACGGAGTGATGCAGGCGGCGGCAGTCAAGCCAATGGTGTGGCCCGCCATTTTGGCCAGTCACGTGCCGTGACTGGCCAATTAGTGCACGCTTTGGGACTACTTTTTGAAGCGGGATATCTTCTCAGCCAACGCCCGTCGGAGCCGCAAGCGGCGCGAAAATAAAGCGAGAGGCTGCACTTTCAAACGATATATGATCCGCGGCTGTCGGACAAGTATGCTGGCCGTCGCGTGTCACGGGAGAAGCGCTTTATTTACAGAATCCTTGGCTCGTATTTAGCTGGCACTGGTGCCAAAAATCTATATAACGGCTAAGCTATCGTTTCAAACTGCATAAAACTGGGCAAAATGGTAGAATGTTGGATGGAAATAACAAAACTGCCATTTAAAAAAAAATGTTTTTTTTTTCACGATTTTTCGGCTTTTAAAACCCGTGTCGCCCCTCAGAAAGTTTTACTTCGTGCTTCAGATATCTCAAAATTCCAGCTGCAAGAACACCAGGGAATGGTTAGCACCTGAAGCTTTCTGTACATTGCAGTCGATTCTCCAAAAAGAAAGCTTCAGGTTAGCACCTGAAGCTTTCTGTACAATACAGTCGATTCTCGCTACAACAAAACTGATGGGGCGCAGAAAAAATTTCGTTCAAGCGAAAATTTCGCTGTAGTGAAATCGAAAAAATATCGCTGATCTGAGGTAGCAAAACAAAAGAACGTTTATTCTCAAATTCAAAAAATGTTCGCTGGTTCCTATTCTTTCCCAGCAGCATCGGGACGCGATTCTCACCCATGCATAGAGAGGCCATGGTGAAGCAACGCCATGGTGAAACAACGCCTAAAACTGCTTTCGTGAATGAACCAAACAGTTGATTAACAGGTTAACACAAGCAGCTGTCTACCGTCAAAAGTATCCGACAATGCCGAGATGGAGGCAGGGTATCGTGGAGCGGCGACTTTTGCATTATTCTATGCCATTCTCATCATCCATCACTCGCGGCTAGCCGATTTTGTTGATAATGCGGACGAACAGCAGCTCTGATTAGTTACCACACTGGCCAAGCGCAAACATAATGATAAGGATCGGAAAAGGCATCGTGCCGCTATTGCACCCAGCAGCTGCGAGAAGGAAACCATGAACTGAGCTTTAGCTTCGGATCGTCTGCGGCTCAAAAGCAAGCCAGTGGCAAAACAAAAGCAGGAGTCTTATTGCCATCACTATCGAGCAATGGTAGCGCCCATGCTGGCTGAACAGCGGCGGTATAGCGGTGGTTTCTGGTGGTGCTAACGCATGTTTTAGACTTCGTTGACGCATTTTCAGGCTCTGAAAATGCACTGAAATGTTAAAGATTGGGTTTACTGCATAGCAATGAGTATATGAGCCTCGAATTGCATTGTAAAATTTCGTTGAAGCGGGACGATCAAAGAAAAAGTGTTCGTTGTGGCGACAATATTTATGCATTGACTTCTATGAACTGCTGACAGGGAATCTGAAATTTTGTTGAAGCAGCGTTTGTTGTAGCGGAGTTTCACTGTATTGTACAGCTAAACATGCTTATAACGAGCCTTTATATAACAAATTTCTCTACCGTATTTACTCGCGTAATCCTCGCACTCGCATAATTCTCTCCCCCCCCCCCCCCCCCCCACATGGCCCAACAAAAATACGATTTCTTTTTTCCTCAAGTAATGATCGCACCCTCGAAAACTGCCGCAATAATGTCGTCTGCTCGTTCTAACCACTGATGATGATAGGGTGCACCGTTTGGCTCCATCTCTTAAGCATTAAGCGTACTATTATTGCATGAAGATTCAATTCGATCCAAGCCAAGCCAAAGTGGCAAGTATGCATTGCGGCGTGTTTTGTATGGTGTGTCGGTAATCTTGTCACGTTATGGGGCGATACTGAAGCTACACGGCTGCCTTCAAGTTGAAAGTGATAGAACATGCACTAAACAACGTCAACAGGGCTGCCGGTAGGCCCTTCGGAGTTTATGAGTTTTGTGTTCGCTACTGGTGACGGCAGCTGAAAGCCACCAAGACGCGTTGGGCCTGCCGTGTGCCTGAAACTGGGATTGATGGTAAAATTTATTTCATCAGTAGGAAACTGCGGACGATTCTATTAAATAGCCATCAGCCCAATACTGACGTTCTACGCTAACTTTTTGAGGGCTCCTGTTGAATGACGCACGCTACCGCTACGCCCACAAGCTTTGCGTATGGTATTCTAATTCCCGACTGTTTGCTTGCACTTTTTGTCTCAAATAAAGCGTGCCTTGTGTTGAACCTGTGCTTTTACTGTTGAGGTAAGTTTTAATTAGCACTTCTCAAATGCTTGCTGTTAGTTGCTAGTGTGAGAATGCCAATTTGCGGTCACTTCGTTTTCTTTTTTGCTCTGTACGTTTTCGTGGAAAGTTTTCCCCGCGTAATTCTCGCACTTCCCAACTTCGCATCGGTTTTCCGCCAAAAAAAGTGCGAGGTATATGCGAGTAAATACAGTATATAAGTTTTTCTATTCTCTGTCGTTACTCCATAGACGCACTTGCATTTGCGACCTCTATGTTACAAAACAGAGAGAGACACCCTTGATATAACGAATTTTCGCCACAATCTAGGAATTTTGCCCTATATTTTGTCATTTTGGCATGAGCATGCAGTTTCTGGGGTTGCCCCGCCGCCGCTGAAGCACAACTCTTCGACTGCTTTGACTCTTTATAACGTGTTGATAAATGCGTGCTGTTGAAGGCAACGAAGTGGTTAAAACAGGGGGGAGGAAAAATGGAGGATTATTTCCAGCTCAACAAAGCTAGCTTCGTCAATAAAGTGCTTTTGTGAATTATATGTGAATTTATGACATCCAATCCCTTTGCAGGCTTATATCGAATTAGTCATACCTCGTTATAACAAAGTTGAAGGGGGAGTCGTAATTACTTCGTTATAACCATCAGTTCATTATAGCTCACGGCCCTGGCAACTCCCAGGCGAAAGCGTGTGGCGAGCCTGCGCCCCACAAGCGGGCGTTGCCGCCGTTCTAACTGTCGCGGGCGAATGCGTGGATCTGCCCTACTCCTGGACGTCACTGGAGTTATAACAGCAAAAATTTTGTGTGATGGCTTTGCTTGTTTCAGCCCGTGAAAATTTGTTTTGTGCGACAAATTTGTTTTGAAGCCAGAAGCTCTTTTTTTGTTTACTCCTGCAACGACGGATCGACGTGGGAAGTGTCGTCCAGCTGCCCGGTTCCCATGCTCTAGTGCATGCTATTTGTTACCAGCCGTGTAGCTAGTGTACTGGCCGAATGCACCCTGCGCAGCAAGTGTACTAACCTGTTTTCCAACCACAAACCCGACAACAAGAACACAGCGTTGGATGGCAGCGCTTTGCATGGCCTCCAAGATGGAGGCCGTGGGGCGTGTTTCTACGCTGCATAGAGTTTCCTAAAATAATGGATGGTACTCTGGCGCTGCGATCGTTCAGCTGACCATAGGAATTATGGATAATACACAGATTTGCTTAGTCTTCGTGCTTGCGGGTGGCAAAAAGCACCTGTGACTTCGTTTATTTTAGTGTTTCGGTTTTGTTTCGGCGAAAAGAACGAATCCTTTTGAACTTCGTGATCGGATTTGAAATGGTAAGCCTGAAAGAATAAGGTGGTGAAGTGCAACCACCGAACATTTGCTGATTTTTGTTTCGTGAGACGACAGCTTCAAGCCACACGAACACACAGGGAGCCAGAAGTACGCATATTTGACAAATCAGTGCATTACCCATCATTCCCCTGCTGGCTGAAGCGACGTACGTTGGACCACCCATAGACACTATTGCCAGAGTTCCCTCCGTTGTATATTTAGGAAACTCTGTGCTAAGCTGTGCACCTGCCGTTTTGGAGGCCATGCGCTTTGTTGTTTGCTTTGTTTTTGGGCCGCTGTGCTTGCGTGGAGCTGTGCCAAAAAAGGCGCGACCTTCAAATTTTGATTTACGTCGTCCGCACTACTCGCAACTATTTAGCATGTTCGCAAAACTATGTTTTGACTTTTATTGCATTGTTATTTTGTGATATAATGGCTTGATTTAACGTTCTTTCAATTGTCAATGGCACTGGCTATCATATTGAAATGATATACATTAAATTCTTTTTATTTTTTTAAAGGCTAAGTTGAGGGCGAGTTCATTACTCGAGTAAGTACAGTAACGAAATTTTCTTCATAGCAAATTTTTACAGGAATTCGTCAATCCAGGTTTAACTGTTATACGGGAAAACTGAATTTCGTGTTGTATTGCTCCCTGCCACATTTCATAAAAACCTGGTATGGTGACATGGAAGTGTAGACTATAACTGTAAAGGGTAAACACGAGCAGTGTGCTTACACAAAGCATAAACATGTTAGTATTTGTGGGCGTGTTTGTTGTCGGAATAAAGCTCACAAGAATTCACTACATTGAAAAAACAAGTAGTGCCTGTAATACATTCTTGAATTAATGGCTTCAAACTGCACAAGGAGTTGCTGCTTTGGTAAAAGCACGCACTCTTGGCACTAGTAATGCTGTTGTTTGTAACTCACCGGTGCAGATTTCAAAAGGCTCTGCAGCATCTGACCGAGGCCAGAAGGCCTCACTTTTATGATTTTGGTTTACTTCTAAACTCTTTTACTTCAGAATTTTTTTATTAATATTTCAGAGTCGAGTTATCAGATTTCACTGTGCACCCACAGATTTGTTTTCAGATCGACCCAGAAGCATTCTGGAATCTCATTTCCAACACTCCTCTTGTTGCTGCTGATGCAGGGCGTGGAGCACGCGTTGTTTGCAAACGATGCATGTGGTGCCCCAGTGCCGTGGCTGATGTGCTGCCCGTGGCTGTACTTTGATGGCAAGCTGTTCCATCAGAAGCTGCTGAGGGCTGCCCAGGCCAAGAGTCTTGTCGAGGTTTGCGGTGGACAGATCGACCAAGTGGCCAAGGTTGAGCGCATGCGGGCCGCCATCCTCGAGGGACTCCAGGTGCGGGGTTCCTCTCTCTTCTTTGGCCTTTATCTTCGAAAAGCTGCTACAGCTGTGTCAACATTACAGTACCGCTCAAAAGTACTGTAAAACTCGCATATAGTCTAAGGTTTTTCCCCTAATTTTTATGGTGCGCATCTTCGACCAGGGACTGCGCTGTTGCAACCCGCAAAAACGGAATGAGCGGGGAAAGGAAAAAGTTTCGCTCTTGCAGAAATTTCGTTGGTGTGAGAATGTGGCAGAAAAGATAGGGAATTGACTAAAAACACATCTTATTGCCAAGAGTCAACAAGCTTACCTTGCCGAGCCTTTCCTGGAGCACTTTGATGACTCTCAATTCGAATTGTAAAAAGTGGTGCATTGCCACGTCATTGAGCTCGGCGAAACACGAGCTAATGGTGTTCAGAGCATTGAACACATTCTGCGAGGTCGTTCTTCTCTCCGGCTGTTGCAGTTTTTGAAGATCAAGATCTTCTGTCCTTGCACACCCTTCTGCCAATAGCTTCTTTGTGCACAGTGTCTGTTCTGTATGTTCTGTTGCATAACCGCCTTCCACGAGTCTGCAAGCATGCCGACGGCAGACCATAGGTCAGCAGGGTAGCTCTTCCAACTGTTTGGGCACAGGCAGCAGTGGGCAGCACAGTATCACAACAGCACCGTGCGGCTACGGCCACAAATTTGACTAAGCTACAGCTGGCAACGGATTGGTGTGCACTGTATTGCGCATTTACGGTTTCGAGGGTACGGCAGCCACGGCACGGTAGTAGAGTAGGGTTCAAGGGTATGAAAGCAAACAAAATGGTGGCATAGATAGTGACTTCGAGTCTGCGGTTAGCGGTAAAAAGTCTGGAAAATCGGGTGGCGAAAGCTATAAACGTCCGGAACTTCCGACTTTTTAATCACTATTCAGCTTAAGGGGGGACATGGGTCTTAGGGCTCTCTCATTTATTTTTGAACCTAATGTGACAAAAGTTGGCATGCTTACTTAGTTTGTTCTCCGGATTCTGAGAATTTAGTTATATTTCCTGTAGCTTCATTAGGTAATTAAATAATCAAGATAATAATTTCTATTGTTCTTACCATAATAGAAAAATAACCACCTGTCAAAAATTTATAAATAACATAGGGATTGACAGTAGAAAGCATAAAACATGGAACATAAGAAGCACTTTTTTGAATAGGTCATTATTTATTACTTTACAGTACACTAAACTTCACAGCCCTGAATGTGGCCATTGTGTGGTCACATAAAAGACTAGTTCGAAAAACTTGCATCAAGAGACATCAAAATCTGCTTCCTATGTTGTGTGCTCCAAATATATAGCTTCATGCTGCAAAATAAACTATTCTGCTATCTGTAATAGTTTCAGATATATTGCAGTAATTTTCATGCAGGGTTTACAAAATTGCCATTTTGAGAAAATGAAGAAAACAAAGAATTCCAACATTTTTACCTAAAGATGTATGCACTTATAATTACATAGCCATTGACATATAAATGAATGCTAGAAAGCCTAAGGAGTGCAATGCTGCAAGCTGATCGAAAATTGAATGAGTACTTCTCGAATTACAGCACAGTAAAGTTCATTGCATATAACCAAATACAGAAATTGTTATATTAAATTAAAAAAATGAAGCTGCCCATTAAAAATAGGATCCCAGCATTGTTTTTTGTGCCCATTTAGCTACATTGTGAAAAAAGAATTACAGCTCTAGCTGTCCTAGGTCCACTTTTACCGAACAAGCAAAAGAAAGTGGTCAAAATCTGTGCTTCGAGAATAATGCTGTTAAAACTTAATTTCGCTGTTCCGAGGGAAAAATATCATGGCACACATACTTTTAGTCAGTTAAGGAGGCAGACTGGTCTTAGACATTTTTTTTTTATTTCTTCAGTGATCTTGATAAAACTGCACAGGGTTATACAGTTTTTTCTGCTGATTTCAAATATGTAATTAGTTTTCCTATAACTCACTTTGTTGCTGAGATAACTTAAGTTCACTCCCTATTGTTTAAGGCCACCATAGAAAAAAAAGTGCTTAATTAAAAGTGATATTTAGGATATGCCAACATAGACTAACGACTATAGAGTGAAAGAATGGGAGAGGTTTTTGTTTTTAGACCTTTATTGGTTATTTTGCAGCAAAATGAACTATACATTTTCAAAAGCAGTTGGAATTGTGTTACAATTTTGATTAGTAATTAATTAAACAGGCATGTGCTCTAAATTTTGCTCCCATACTTGCATTCTACACACATACAGGTTTCCACTGCAAATAGAAATATTGCTGTACCTGCCCTAGCTGCAGAGATATTGAGGCCTCAAAATTGAATAGTCACAAATTTACTTTTTTGAGAAAAATGGAAAAAACTGAAAACACACAGTTTCTTCAAAAAGCAACGATCATGGTGCGCATGTTTAGCAATCCTCACGAAGGCACTCATAAATTTGTAGTAGAGCTTTAGACAAAGGGGCTGGCAAATTATAAAGAAGCCTCAAAGTCGGTTCCCCATTTTTTTTGCAGGTTCTGCATGTTAACAGCACCAAGAATCTGGGCAGTTAAAATGACATTACAAAAAAATTACTACTTCTTGGTGCGTGAAAATTTGCAGAGAGATAGAAAAATACTTGCAAAAACCAAATATGTCAATTTTAAAAAATGAATATTTTTGTCACTTTTTGGTCCCAAAGAGCAGTCTGCCCCCTTAATATGCACCGGGAATGTAATAGGACTGATTGTTTGTACAAGCGTGTCGTTTTTTCTAGTCCTGTAGCAAGTTGTCGCCGTGTGCTCGTCTGCCGCGAGGCCGCTTATCAGTTTGGAGACTGTACTGACGGCGATGTGCGACAAATCTGCATGCGTCATCCACGATCCGTTGAATAACGCAGCGATGTTTTCCGGCGTGTCCAGAATAAGTTACCCGTAAGTGTCTCAAACCAAAGTTGCTCCCTCGCTCATCAATTTGGAGGCTACACGAGTGCAGAGGTGTTAGTTTCCTTTTCACGCAAGACTGCCGCATTTTCGAGCGGAGATCGCGACAACGTTGCGAACACGTCGTTAAAAGTAGTCTACCTGTTGCCAGTAGCCTCCATTGCGGGGGCTGCAAGCATGTCCACTGCGAACGGATTGACTTTCTGTTGTTGGTCGACGCGCCACGTACTCCACTCTGACGACCCGTCGCGCAGTTCAAGGTCCTTTCGTCAGGCGGGGGGAACCACGACATCGGCGGGTTTAGCGATAAGACTACGCTTCCGTTCCGTCACTACAAAGATTGATAACTCTGGTAGCTTCACTTCTGCTTTTTTACGTGCCGTCCTCTAACTGATGAGGCTGCAAAACACAGAGCCGTTCTCAGTAACGTTGTCGGCAACAAACGGGCTCGTACGTGAGTTAGACCTACACCAATGACACGGCGACCGTCGTTGACCGCGTCGAGTTCGTTATCCTCGTTGTCCTGAGCCATAGCGGGGATCTTTCTGAAGTTCACAGCGAACGAACGACCGCCACACCCGCTTCACAAATTACTGTTGCACGGAACTTCTTTACTGTTGCAAGCAGTCAGTAGCACCATGACAAAATGGTGCATGTCCGTGCGCGTCACGATGGTGAAGCAGACGCCGAAAGCGCCCCTTGGCCAAACGGATGCCTAAATTTGGTCACGTGCCCCAAGCAGCCAATTGAATCGCGCGCTAGTGTTTCTCGACGCGTTTTTGCTAAAAAACCAATGAGCAAGGTGAGCCAGCGGTGGCGGGATATTGAAGAGGAAGAACGACCCTTCCAAACGAGTCCAAGATGAACACAATAGCTCGTGTGTAACGGCAACAGTTTGGCGCGGAAAAAGCACGATTTTAGCGTCAATTTGCGCTCACATTCATATCACAGGGATGTTATAAATTAATATGCACCAGAAATAATGACGCGAGAAGCTAGAAACTTCTCAGATAAGTGCAAAAACAGGCGCAGATTCCAAAAATGTCACCTTCAAAAAGACCACTTTTTTTTTGTGATTTCTGGCCTTCTAAGACCCGTTTTCCCCTTAACAAGCGTTTCCATGTCAGCACATTAAAATATTAACATGTGCCCACTGCAAGGACACCTCAGATTCTTGGTTGGGACATTTTGCAGGTCACCCATAGGAATAGCCAAACCATGTTCCTACTCAGTCTCTCTCTCTCTTTTTTTTTAAGCAATAACGGCAATGGTGGTGAAGCGCAACCACCGAACATTTGCTGTTTTTTGGAACCTGAAGGGACCGGTAAAATATGTTCCTTTTAACAGAAGTTCCGTTTACCGAGAGGTGAACATGGGTTCAGAATACAATGCCAAAACCAATTGCAGAGGCAATAGTTCCGTTTAAGCAGTAGTTTCATTTAACAGATATTTATTTACTGAGAGTCTACTGTATACCATGAATGCATTTGAGCAGTTTCTGAATGCAGGTGATGTTCGAAGTGTAGACTATTTGTGCACTCTCGTTAAAAATTAGCGGTAATGAGGGACTCTGGTAAAAAATACATCGCGTAGTCACGAGTTACGAAATGTGTTGGCGTTCACCAGTGCTGCTAAATAGTTTTGTTGCAGTGGCAATTTCGTTCCATCACGATTTCGTTATCGCAGATTTCGTAGCGCACGGTCATGCGTATGAGCTGACGTGTTTTTCACGCGATGGCAAATGGAAAATGCCCTGTTGTGCACTTTCGGTAGCATTACAACTGCATCATCGCATAATTTCTCTGCTGTTTATGATGGCACGCAACAGGTGGTGGTAACTTGAGGCCATTACTGCATAGCTGTGCTGTGTTTCCAAATCGCTCCTTGCCTTCCATCTTACGCTCATCACACCTGTGCTGCAGCATCTCCCGATATAAATCCTCCGTAACTTCGTTACTGGGATGAGGCCGTTTTCTCAATGTCAGTTCACTGTTGTCGGCAGGGAGTGCTCCGAAGGCAATCACAAGGTGGAAAAATAGTACCTTCACCGCAGAGAGTTATGGCTTCATGAAGGGGGAAAAAAATGCCCCCAACTCCTCGAAGGGACTCATGAGGAAATTCGAATGCATTGCGTAGCGTCTATAGCGGCGTTTCGCACGTGAGCACACAGCGTTAACATTTTTATTATTTTTTTCTTACGTTGTGCAATCAATAGTGCCATTGGCCGCACATGGCTTTTTTCTGTCACGGGAAAAACGCGTTATGCGTTTCCAGCTCAAGTAGCTGGCGTGCACAGTTAAAAAATACTATGAAGTTTAAAAAAAAATGCTGGCAGCACAAACGCACTTCAAACGCAGGATGTTCAAGTCACGTTCAAGGTGGGGGATTCGGTTGTTGGAGGTGAGATTAAGCGCGCATGCCCGCAGCTGCCGACGCCAAAGCGTGACATGGTGGGGGCTCTAGTTGCTAGGCACGTGCAGCTGTTGCTATGGGAGAGGGTGATGGACAGATCCCAACAGACGCCTGACATAGCCCGACTAAGAAATGCGTTCCCATTTAAGAAACATATTAGGAGCACCTCTCTACAGTCATATGTTTGCTGGCACGTACAGATGGTGATACTTTTTTGTGCATTAGCGGACTAGAATAGCTAACAAGTGTACTGTTTTCTACATAAGCAGTGTAAAGTAAAAGAGTTCCGGTGAAAAAGAAAAGTTGCATCTTTTCATAATTTGATGTTTTACTTGTATTAGAAAAATTTTATATTTGCACAGTCCTAGAAAAAAAAGAGCTTTGTAGTTCCGTGGGACATCAAGGGATGATTACAATGAATTTTAGCTTTCTGCTATGTTCTGGGATTTCTCCAGGCTTTTCCTAAGGCACACGTCAACCACTCAGTTGGACCTTTATTGCGCTGGAACTAGTTTACGCAGCTTCATGAAAGCACAGTTTCTCTAGTTGTATTGAACATTTCCTGAAAATTTTATCGGCATACTCCAAAAAATAAAAATTAAAGAAGTTCAGTCTCCAGGGTCGCCTTTTCCCTCAATCTGACTTTGTAACGAAAGTTTCAAGCTGCTTCCGACAGAAATGAGTTGCAACTGAATTAATGGGCATTCCTGGTTTATGATATACTGTGGACTCTCATAAACGGAACCTGAAGGGACTGGGAAAATGTGTTTAGTTTAGCAGGAGTTTCATTTACTGAGAGGTGAACTGGGGTGCAGTATGCAGCGATGAAACTGATCATATCAGAGGCAGTTGTTCCACTTAAGCAGCAGTTCTATAGATATCCGTTTACTGAGAGTCCGCTGTAGTTCACTCAAATCTCATCATGACAAAGTTGCACCTTACACGAAAATAAGTTTTATACAGTCAAACCCCTTTATAATAGACGTTGACATCACAGACACCAGTGTGTCTATAGTAAAATACATGTTGATAAGAAAATGCATACGCGGTATCCCACTTATAAGAGACAAGAATGGCTGCCCGGAGCATGCCTTTAATAAAGGGGTTTAACTGTATTTGAAAATGCTTTATAAAGGTATATTCCTAATACTATATTTATTGCAAGACTATTCTATTTACTTTCTTATAAGCAATATTATGTTATATCTGGGTTTGTTATATGGAGGTTTGAGTGTACCTCCATTCTCGACCTGCAGGTGGAATTCGCGCGGGCACCCCTTCCCACGATGGGCGGCATGCCACGCTTCATGCCGGGCTACCCACCACACGGGGGTCCGCGAATGGGCGGACCGATGGGCATGGGCCCACCCCCGAGGGGACCCGCGGCCGGCCGGGGAATGCCTCCACAGGGTGCCCCCCGTCGCGGTGCCTTGCTTGCCCGTGGGGGCCAGCTGGAGATTGCTGGCGTGGTCGTTGGCTCCTGGGGGGCCAACTATGGACAGGGGCCAAGGGGCGCCCCTGCAGGAGCGCAACGAGGAGGGGCCCGAGGCCCACCCCTGCCACCGCAAGTCACATCGGTTGGTGGACGGTGAGTGGTGGTGTTGTCCTATGCCGCGAGGCTTTATGCGGGTGCGTGGGCTGTTTATGTAAAATACCGTAGGCAATTGATGGTCAAGGGACAATGCATGCTATGAACTTCCTGCCTTCTTCCAACAGGAAAAGTGCGATGCGATTAGGAAAATCTCTGCTAACATTGTTGAAGGAAAACTGAAGGAGAGAAACAGCAAATTAGTTGTAGTAATACAGTAGTCTCAGAATTTCCAGCAATAAGCCAGTTTATAGTACTATTATGTATATTGTTAAACAATAATATTAATGTTAATTTTTTTTTCAATGTGTCATGCTCATATTCTAGTGCTCGTACCTCTATGATGTCATGGATGTCTAAGGGTATGGGTCATTGCAACATGAGAGTTTTTCAAACTTGCCCTGCACAGTCTTTCAGATTTTTCGGATCCTCTAGGGAGCGAAAAACCGTCTGAAAATTCGGGCAGTCCGAAAAAATGAATGAAAGCAAAAAAACGCACTATTTTACTGATAATTTTCAATGCAAGCAAAAAAACGCACCATTTCATCGTATCAAAAGGGTCAAGGTCAATAACTGCACTGTTGACGGCGCCGCTTTCGCCTCACATTTTCTTGAACTTGAGGTCATTCCGATGCTTAAAGTTTCTCAGCCATCCATCACTGAACTTAAAATCCGTGATGTCCATTCGAAGCGCGAGAGTTTCCGCTTTTTGTTTCAAGATGCAGCCCGAGACTGGCAACCGCTTGGCAATCATTGAATCAAGCCACACGACGAGAGCGTCCTCAAGCTTTGGGTTAACACCTTGGCTTGCATTCATCTTTTGGGCACCAGACGATTTTGGGGCCGCTTCCAAGATCTTGTCTTTGTTCTTCAGGAAATCGGAAACTGTTTGCTTGGAAATGCCGAACTCCTTGCTCACCTCAGCCTGCGATTGGCCACCCTTTCACTAGCTTAATAATGGGGGTTATCTTCTCCATCGTTAACCGACGGTACTGTTTTCCGCGCTTCGATGCCATCGGCGAGGACGACGGAGGCGGAGTGGGGGCCATCGCAGGCAAGCGAAATCCTCACTATGTGAGCAAAGGAGTTTGCTGACGAGCGTCGAAGCACCTAGGCTTAGCGTTGCAGAGCACGCTTCACACGATCGCACAACCACACACTAGGCTAGCCAAACACCATGTGGGCTGTGTAAACAAAACGGCGCGACGGCAGGCAACGGTGCCTCGGGTACTTCGGAGGTGGCGCTGGTAAACATTCAAGATAGCCAGCATGGCCAGATCAAATCGGTGTGTGACGATTAGTTTTAGTTCGAAGTCGTGAAACGCTTCGTGAAAGCGCTGCGCGGGAAGCCAGAGTGGCACGCAAAGCGCTAAAGCGAAAGGAACTTTATTGGCGCCGAAAAATTTCCGGATGGATAGTTTCCATTGTCAGCGAAGCACCCTTGCACGATAAACACGGCCAGTGTTAGGAATCTCGGAGGCCGTGTGTGTTTCTCCGCTAACGATCAACGAGTCCAAGCAACAGATGCCGCCACAGTAGACCGGCGTGCTCATTTATGCGATCGTAATGCGTGTGACGCAGTTGTGGTGGTTTCCACTGGAGGTCAGGGGTGGTTTCCGACCTTCTGTCGCGTCAAAAAGTCCGGAAAATTGGACTCCAGGAGGTTCTAGCATCCGAAATATCAGACTTCTTTATACATTGATTCTATGGGGCTCGTGGTGGTGCCGTGAAGATGTCCGAATTATCGGGCATGTCCGAAAAATCGGCAGTTGACTGTAATGTCTGATCACTGATACAACTCATTCATGGTTCTTTCAGGTACGGAATGGGCCGCGGCATGATGCCTCGTCGCCCCATGGCGTTCAACAGGCGACCTGGAGCACCTTTCAACCAGGTGGGAGACTCGGGGATGTATGAATTGCCTTTGTAGCTTAATGGCTTTTAAAAGGGTGTTGCCATCTAATTTAAAGGCTATAACGGGCCTCTTTTTTGTACGCAAGGGCACTCCGCATGAATGGTCAGACACAGCAAATGTATATCGAGTATACAGTAATGCCTTGTTAACTCGAAATCGCATATCCCACCCCATCGAACGTTTTCCTATACCTCCCATGTATATTTTTCTCTTTATCTCGAAGTATTTTCGGGTTTGATTGCAGATAACTCGAAATCCGGCGCCGGAATATTTCACAAGATTCGCGTGATGCTGCTTCACCTGAAGTCTGTTTTTTTTTTTTTTTTTTTTTTTCCTTATTTAGCTGTGCCTGCCACTATGTCGACGCTTTACGCAAACGCGAAGTCTCAGCCCAGCGACATATCAACTTTATCAAGCAACCCTGTGGCATGTCATGTGACACATGCGCTGACCATACTTGGCGTAGTTTGTTGCGTTCACTCTGTGCAGTGCGCATGTTTTTCCCCGATACACTGTGGTATCCGGTCATCTGCGCAAACTGAGCGGTACGGATTTTTCGCCGACTGTGAGGAGCGGCAAGCATGGCGTCAAAGCAGTGCAAGTCGCTAACGCTAAAAAAAAAGGTTGGAGAAAAAAAAAAGAAAGTGGAGAGAAATGACCGAACGAAATCAAGCATCGCGCAGGAATTCAGCATCCCTTTGTCCATGCTTTTGACAGTGCTGGAAAACAAGCAGAAGGTGCTGGATGGATTTCAGCAGAGCTTCTCCAGCCAGGGAAAGCGGGTTCGAGGTTAAAGTTTCTAGGCGTTGAAACAGCGTCGATGGTACAGCTTCGAAATAAAGTCGAGTGCAGTGGTGGGAAAGATTGATTGATGCAATGCGTCAAGCAACTGGAGGGTGGCTTCCTGAGCCTAAGTGTGATCTTAAAGCAGAACGAGCATTAGTCAGTTTTTCTCTGCTAAATAGAATGCCAGTGCGACAAAACCTAGCCAGTTAATGTCACTTGTACGTTAGTTTTTTCACTTTTAAACCTGCACAAGAAGAAAGATTAGAAACTGCCACTGAAGAGCTGATAAGTATCAGCGATTTTTCTGAAAAGTGCTCATTTTTTTCCAGCAATTAGCACAATTTTGCTTATTTTGAAAATCCGTTGATCTTGAAATGCTCATTCTTTCGACTGAAGCCAATTGCAAGCGTTCTGTAGGAAGGGCAACGAAAGTTGTAGTGATGCATCTGTAGTGAGTGTGGTGAGCGCAGGCATGTGAACTCGTATAGAGCATTACGGTAAATAAGAAATGGAAGAGCAAACCAAGACAAGAGGATGGAGTGCTCTGTCCTCTTGTGTCGGTCTGTTCTGCCATTTTTTATTCACTGTAATGCACTATACCAGTTAAAGTACGCCGAATCAACTCGCCCAATCTTCAACTCTTGAGCGTAGGCACACACAGGTTTCTCCTTCAGGGGACAACGAAGCGTCATTGCAGTGCCCCCCACCTTCCTATTACGTCCATGTATGAAGCCGACTTTGACACCCCCCACCCTGAGCCGCAGTGCCCCCTATCATCTCATTGTGTCACGCTGACTAAGGCGCTTTAGGGCTGACTTCGCATACCCGTCCCCTGCCCCTATTAGGTGCCTATGGGAGCAACCGGCTTTAATGGTAACATGCATTTCAGTGTTCATGTGTAGTTTGGTGCTCTTGTCCTGTTCTGCATCCTACAGTGCGGTTTAAAAGTACACTGGATTCTCAGTAAACGTGAATCTCTCATACTGAACTGCTGCTTGAAAGGAACTGCCTCTAATGCAATTGGTTTCGCCCTGTGTACTTCTGTTGGTCTCTCAGTAGACATCATCATCATCATCAGCCTGACTACGTCCACTGCAGAACAAAGGCCTCTCCCATGTTCCGCCAGTTAACCCGGTTCTGTGCTTGCTGCTGCCAATTTATACCCGCAAACTTCTCAATCTCATTTGCCCACCTAACCTTCTGTCTCCCCCTAACCCGCTTCCCTTCTCTGGGAATTCAGTTAGTTACCCTTAATGACCAGCGGTTATCCTGTCTACGCGTTATATGCCCGGCCCATGTCCATTTCTCTTCTTTATTTCAACTATGATATCCTTAACCCCTGTTTGTCCCCTAATCCACTCTGCTCTCTTCTTGTCTCTTAAGGTTACACCTACCATTTTTCTTTCCATTGCTCGCTGTGTCGTCCTCAATTTAAGCTGAACCCTCTTTGTAAGTCTCCAGGTTTCTGCTCCGTAGCTAAGTACCGGCAAGATACAGCTGTTATATACCTTCCTCTTGAGGGATAGTGGCAATCTACCTGTCATAATTTGAGAGTGCTTGCCAAATGTGCTCCACCCCATTCTTATTCTTCTAGCTACTTCAATCTCGTGGTTAGGCTCTGCGGTTATTACCTGCCCTAAGTAGACATAGTCTTTTACAGCTTCAAGTGCACTATTACCTATCTCGAAGCGCTGCTCCTTTCCGAGGTTGTTGTACATTACTTTCGTTTTCTGCAGATTAATTTTAAGACCCACCTTTCTGCTCTCCTTGCCCAACTCCGTAATCATGAGTTGCAATTCGTTCCCTGAGTTACTCAGCAATGCAATGTCATCGGCGAAGCGCAGGTTACTAAGGTATTTTTCATTAACTCTTATCCCTAACTGTTCCCATTCTAGGCTTCTGAAAACCACCTGTAAGGACCCAGTTCTCTTCTGTCTGCCAAGCCCCGATAGCCAAGGACGTGCCCATTCTGTAGCACAGTATAGGCCTCGTCTGTCCTCCTAACCTCACTGAGCCCTATTATATCCCATTTAACACCCTCTAGCTCCTCGAATAGTACAGCTAGACTTCCCTCACTAGATAAGGCTCTAGCGTTAGATGTTGCCAAGTTCAGGTTCCAATGGCGGCCTGTCCGGATCCAGAGATTCTTAGCACCCTCTGCTGCGTTGCAGATCTGACCGCCACCGTGGTCAGTCGCTTCGCAGCTGCTGGGGACTGAGGGCCGTGAGTTATTTGACGTATGCATGTGGAAGGTAGTGGCCAGATACTGCACCAGGGTGGCCAATCCTTCTCTGGTGAGGGAGTGCGTTCCCGGCGGTGGTTACCGGTGAGGCCGCACCCCAGGCTTCTTAATGCAGTTTCATCAACACGCGGATTTTTTATGTCAGTAGACATAACTCCTGTTAAATAGAACACGTTTTCCTGGAGCCTTCAGGTTTGATTTCTTTAGTATACTGTAATGTTGTCTTGTTCATGGCAAAACACTTATGGCAATGTCTTTCGTTTCTTTTTCTCTACCTCTGCAGCTAAACCGACGTGCAAACAAGAAGAAGGCATCCAAGACGGTGGGGACCAAGGACGAACCTACGCCAAAACTGGTGGGCAAGGGCCGTGGATGCACGATTGAGACTGGGGACAAGTGAGCCCTCTCTCTTGCCGTCACTTTTTTTTTTTTCTCTCTCTCTCTCTCTTGCTCTTCAGTGCTCAGACAGCTTAGATTCACTAGTGCCTATGGATAAAAAGAGTCGCATGTATGGAAGAGAGAAAACGAGAGTGACCGAGTGCTGTGAGAGTACAGTGGCACCAAAAATCACATGTTATGTTACATACAAATCATAATTTCAGGGTTAGGCAGAGTTTCTGGACGTTGTGAATTGTGTCCAGTCAAACTGCGACATGTGGTTGGACATGTTGCATTCAGCGACTTGTGTAGCGTCCCACGTCTGGGCCTGATCGCCCGCGGCACCCACAAATCAAAGTTTTCGGACACTTTTTTTTTTTTTCAAATGCCAGACTCAAGGGCTTTTAACATTGCCGACTTCTGCTCGATTGTTATATTTTCGCGCTCACGTTTGTTGCTGCCTTGTCCATCTCGTGTCTAGCAGCGGAAACTGATAGAGGTGGTGTGCTCTTCCACAGCGAACGAGAAAAAAAAAAAAAGCCACAATCTACGCCATCCCGGCAACGCACGAAGCCCCAGCACGGAGCTGTAGGGGAGAAGAAGGTCAGATGCGCGGGTGGGTCAATGAGTCCTACAGGAGAGGGGAGGCCGGCTGAACCGCATGCTGGCGCGAGTAGCTGCGCGGATGACGTCATTAGTTCCGGAGGAAAAGGGAAGCGGGGAGACTCGCTCCCACACGCGTGTTGGCAATCGGCTCGCAGGAAGTGCAAGGTGCGCGTTTTGAATTACTGCGGCCATGATGAGACGTAAAACGCCGCGCGCTATGATATATTGAGCATTGACATATACCAAAATGATCAGTAAATGATCATTGTGGACGAGGAATGGTTCGTTATATGCATTGTGGGGAAATTTTTGCCTTCTTAAAATTTGGTTTTAAATACATGAGCGTCTATGGGAATTTCAAGTGGAATTACAAATGCTTCGTTATATTCATTAGTTCGATATATCCCACTTTGTTATAACGAGTTTTTACTGTATGCTCTATATCGAACTGACAAGCGCTTTTTCGCTAGGTCAATATATCCCGGTTTGACTGTACAGCTATTGCCTTTGCTGCTGGTGCGTGGTCTTACATAAGCTTGGCAGCTTTTCATCGTTAATCTCCTGGCCGCAAATGCAAACTTCGTATCAAGCACGCTGTTCTTCGTTCAGTGCTTGAGTGCGATCTTTTCGACGCCCGATCTTTGTGTCTTGACCAAACTTCCTGCAACTACATACCGAGCAGTGGGCTGGGCCTAATCAGCGTTGGTTGCATTCCGGTAGTGGTCGAAAGGCTATGTAAGTTGCGGTTTGGTATGGAATGAACGAAACTTTTTGGAGTAGCTACATATAAAGGGAAGGGATACATATTGTTAATAAAAACGAGGGTGGCGCGTGTAGCAATCAAACGGTGGTTCGCGTTTTGATTGCTTCGCCTTCAAACTGGGTTGTCTTTAAAAAATAGGTGTTTTTTTTTTTTTTTTTTTCAGCATGTGAAATTTTGGACGTGATGTGACATGATTTCTGTGTAATGCGCAATTAAGGGGGGAGGTGGCTTTGAAAAAAAACTTTTTTATTTGTTGACCTACAGCAATGAAATTTGGCATGCATACTCATAAGTGTCTAGAATAGGGAAATATGCAGTTTCATCATGATAGCTTCAGTAGTTCTCAAGTTACATAATGCTACACGATCCAATTACATGGTCTGCTCGTGGAAAGCCTAGCCCTGCAACAAAACATGCCAGGAAGCTGCGAATGATGTTGATCTTTACTCAAAAGAAAGCTACAGGGTATGACACTCTCGGAATTTTTTAATAAGTTCTCGTTTTTTTTTAGAGATCATCATGGCTGCCGACACACATTGTCAGAAACAATAGCACGGACAAATCATCGTCTAGAAAAATAACAGAGCCACAAAACAGAAATTGAAGATTGCTGTACCCACAAGCAGTGTTCAGGGATTCAGGGAAAAAAAACAGAATCAAAATCGGTCCAGTCATTCTCGTGCTACTCTTTCCACGAGCAATGCACAATGTCCAAAACAAACTTGTGAGAAAAAGCCTGTCGAAGTTTTCGACAGGCTTTTTTTTCAATGAACTTTTTTGTTTCTCGTTGGATATTGATGAAAATTGGCACAGACACTAAGAATAACCTCACAGTGCTTTCATAAAAATTTTGAAGCGATACCACAAATACTTTACGAGAAACAAATTATTTCTTCACTGAACCATGTGGAGGGGCTGAGCATAATGTCAAAAAAAAAAAACAGTATTGAGAAAGCTGCGTTTAAAGTTTCAACTTTTCTTTACGTCTCTAAGACACCTAAAAATTGTGATCTCAGGTTTGTCTTGCGATATTTGACTTCTTTTCATGATTTACTCCTTTTCATTAGTTACAAAGAACAAGTATGAATTTCAAACCAAGTTCTTTGTATGAAGGAGTGGTGTGATAAGTATGACAGAAAAGATTGTAATTGAATAAAACCATATACTGAAATTATTAAACATACTTTTTTGTGCTGAAGTTGTAATTAGCGTAATTAAGTACTTGATTAGAAATATTCACTGAACTTTTTTTTATTTGGAGAGAAGTTTATTGCATCAGAAAAATGGATCACACCATGACGGCCTATGCCTTCTTTCCAAATAACAAAGTTATGGGCAGAAGACTGGTGGCACGGGAATTTCTAGCAGTATAATTAATGACACGAAACGGGCATATAAAAATTCGTGCCCCTGATTCACACATGCTCTTTCGCCGCTCTAGCCGTGAAACGCATCATCATACAGCCGGTCGCGGAAATTCTAATCTACAGCAATTCATTAACCTCGGAACATTCATAGACGTTCGTGGAGATATCAAGCACGGCTCCAAGCACGTCTGAATCGCATCACAAAAGCTTACTGACGGCACTCCATATGACCGTGGGGTGCGCGGCCGCGTGGACAGTGCAGCCGGCGCGTAATGCACTTGCCGGCGGCGTTCGATGACGATCCGCGAAATGAGTAACTACGAAGACAAAAAATCGGCACGCACTGCACTTGGCATCGCATTTTCGAATGACGACGCGCGAAACTGCTAGCCGCTGTTCCGAGCGATCCTTGGCAGTGAAGGGGGGGGGGGGGGGGGGGGGGGGGTGACGAGCTTGACCGTGTTGTCCGCTGCCGATGCGTAAAATGCCCGTACAATATTCGGAGGAGCTAGCGAGTGATGTGGTACATTCCTTGCGAAGAAGCAAGTCACCAAGAGTGCGCTTGCGCGTCGTTCCTGCCCGCAGTCTCGCTGTCAGCGGAGTTAGGCCTAAAGCCGACTCCGATGACGCGCCGCACTCGTAGACCGCCGCGCGCCCGCTCGTAGTAATCTGATCGTGCATCCGGTGCGGCCACTCGTAGTAATCAGATCGTGCCGCCGCTTACAGCTTCGTTGCTTGCGAAGAAACACGTCACCACGAATGCGCTAGCGGGTCGTTCCTGCTCGCAGTCGGCGGAGTTAGGGCTAAAGACGACTTCAGTGACGCGCGGCGCTCGTAGACCGCGCTGACGCTCGTAGTAACCTGATCGCGCATCCGCTTACTGCTCGTAACTAAAGCGTAGTTATATCTTAAGCGATTATCAAGCCGTGAACACGTCACGAAGTGGCGATTTTCGAGAGCCATGTCCTCGCGACGCACAAACAGCAGACGACGATCTCCCGGAGCGAGCATAGGGCCAATGGCGAGGCGAGCTGAGGCAACATGGCGGCCACGGCCAATCACGGGCCTCAAAACGACCTTCAAACATTTGCTTTTTGCTCGCTTGTTGTTAAAGGGAGGGGCCAGCTGAGGCGGGAAAGTTAAACACGGAAAAATGCTCTTTCCGATGAGCCCAAGAAGCCGGCTCCCGGCCCAAGCATAGCGAAGCTATTATTTTTTGAAAATCGCCGTTTTCTCGCCATTTTCAGAAATATTTTTGCTACCTAGGTGGGTGAAACGAATTTTCCGAAGCACTTCTGCGCGGTTTTCAGTGTAGATATTTTGGAACCAGATAGAAAAAGGGTTCCAGAAACTGAAAACTTGAGTTTCAAAAAATCGATTTTTTTGCCATTTTTCGCGATCCCAAAGCCGCATCCCCCCTTAAGGGGGGACACGGCTTTGGGATCGCGAAAAATGGCAAAAAAAAACGATTTATTGAAACTCAAGTTTTCAGTTTGTGATGTGACATGATTTCTGTGTAATGCGCAATTAAGGGGGGACACGGCTTTGAGATCGCGAAAAATGGCAAAAAAAAAAACCGATTTATTGAAACTCAAGTTTTCAGTTTGTGGAACCCTTTTTCTATCTGGTTCCAAAATATCTAAACTAAAAACCACGCAGAAGTGCTTCGGAAAATTCGTTTCACCCACCTAGGTAGCAAAACTTTTTCCAGAAAGGACAAGAAAACAGAGGTTTTTAAAAAATTATAGCTTCGCGATTCTTGGGCCAGGAGCCGGCTTCTTGGGTTCATTGGAAAGAGCATTTCTCCGTGTTTAACTTTCCCGCCTCAGATGGCTCCTCTCTTTAACAACAAGCGCACAAAAAGCAAATGTTTGAAGGTCGTTTTGAGGCCTTTGATTGGCTGTGGCCGCCGTGTTGCCTCGGCTCGCCTCGCCATTGGCCCGATGCTCGCTCCGGGAAATCGTCGTCTGCTGCTTGTGCATCGCGAAGACATCGCTCTCGAAAATCACTACTTCGTGACGTATTCACGACTCGATTACCACTTAAGATATAATTACGCTTTAGTTACGAGCAGTAAACAGATGCGCGATCAGGTTACTACGAGCGCGGCGCGTCATCGAAGTCGATTTTAGCCCTAACTCTGATGGCAGCGAGACTGCGGGCGGGAACGACGACGTGCAAGCGCATTCTTGGCGACGTGCTTATTCGCAAGGAATCAAGCACATCACTCGCTAGCTCCTCTAAACCACGTACGGGCATTTTAGGCATCGGCAGTGGACAACACAGTCAAGCTCGCTCGTCACCCCCCCCCCCCCCCCCCCTTCACTGCCAAGGATTGCTCGGAACAGCGGCTAGCAGTTCCGAGCAATCCTCGAGAATGCGATGCCAAGCGCAGTGCGCGCCGATTTTTTGTCATCGTAGTGACACATTTCGCGCATCGTCACCGAACGCCACCGCCAAGTGCATCACGCGCCGGCTGCACTGTCCACGCACTCCACGGTCATATGGAGTGCTGTCAATGAGCTTTTTTAATGCGATTTAGACAAAGCTTGGAGCCGTGCTGGATATTGCCTATGTCTATGAATGTTCCGAGGCAACGAAAGCCTTTTAGATTAGAGTTTCCGCGATGGGCTGTATGATGATGTGTTTCACGGCTAGAGCGGCAAAAAAGCATATATGAATCAGGGGCACGAATTTTTATATGCCCGTTTCGCGTCACTAATTATACTGCTAAATATTCCTGTGCCACCTATCTTATGCCCATAACTTCGTTATTTTGAAAGAAGGCATAGGCCGTCATGGTGTGATCCATTTTTTTTATGCAATAAACCTCTCTCCAAATAAAGAAATGTTCAGTGATTAATTTTAATCAAGTATTTAATTACAACTTCAGCACAAAAAATATGTGTAATCATTTCAGTATATGGTCCTATTCAATTACAATCTTTTCTGTCATACCTATCACCTCACTCCTTCATACAAAGAGCTTGGTTTGAAATCTGTACTTGTTCTTTGTAAATTATGAAAAGGAGTATATCATGAAAAGAAGTCAAATATCACAAGACAAACCAGAGATCACAATTTTTAGGTGTCTTAGAGACGTAAATAAAAGTTGAAACTTTAAATGCAGTTTTCTCAATACTGTTATTTTGACATTATGCTCAGCCCCTCCATGTGGTTCAATGAAGAAATAATTTCTCTCAAAAACTATTTGTGGTATCGCTTCAAAATTTTTATGGAAGCACTGTGAGGTCATTCTTAGTGTCTGTGCCAATTTTCATCAATATCCAACGAGAAACAAGAAAGTTAATCGAAAAAAGCCTCTCGAAAACTTCGACAGGCTTTTTCTCACAAATGTGTTTTGGACATTGTGCATTGCTCGTGGAAAGAGTGGCACGATAATGACTGGATCGATTTCGATTCTGTTTTTTTCCCCTGAACACTGCTTGTAGGTACAGCAATCTTCAATTTCTGTTTTATGGCCCTGTGTTTTTTTTTTTTTTTTTTTCCCTTCTAGACGATGATTTTACCATGCCACTGTTCCTGACAATGTGTGTCGGCAGCCATGATGATCTCTAAAAAAAGAAAGAGAACTTATTAATGAATTCTGAGAGTGCCATAGCCTGTAACTTTCTTTTGAGTAAAGATCAACATAATTCGCAGCTTCCTGGCATGTTTTGTTATAGCGCTAGGCTTTCCACGAGCAGACCGTGTAGTTGGACCTTGTAGCATTATGTAACTTGAGAACTACTGAAGGTATAATGATGAAACTGCATATTTCCCTATTCGAGACACTTATGAGTATGCATGCCAAATTTCATTGCTGTAGGTCAACAAATAAAAAAGTTTTTTGTTTAATGCCACCTCCCCCCTTAAGGCGGTCTAAGAAGTGGTCAGCGAATTTCCGCGATTGTGCTTTCTTTTGTTAGGATTCCTTTATTATCTTGGCAACGCAGGTGTTCCGACGTTAAATTTTTTTAACGACCGGAAAGTTAAATTATTATAAGCACCACAGATCGCATGCTTCGATTCTCGGACACGTGAGGCTGCATGCTCAACAAACACATTTTGAGCAAGTGTGGCCCTTGGAAGAGGTTGTTTTGGTTATAGTGTGGATATTTGTGACTGTCACAACTTTTTTATAAGCTGTGTATACTCTTCCTAATGTGGCTGCCCATAAAGAGGTTTTATTACAGCACCTCAAAAGTTTCATAAAAACCAGATATTTGAGGAGATGGTGGAGTGAACTGAATCAAAGTTGCTTTGGCGTGGTTTTCACAGAGTTGAGCGGGGGGGGGGGGGGGGGGCATTTTATGAGCGGTCTACCCTGAACAGGGAAGGAATCGAACAAGAGGACGAGAGGGGAAAACGGCCAATAGGCGAGCTGAAGGAATTCAGAAATGCTTTAAACATATGAAGAAATATAAAGTCAGTACAGCTTAACAATATTGACAAACCTTGTTTTCGAAAACTGATATTATAGAGCGAGATGACCTAAGCAATTTATTTGTGTTAATGTTTTGCGTGGACACTAGATGGTGTCACAATTTTTCAAGTAGTTCAGTCACAATTTTCGGCGCTGGATTGGGGTAAGCTAGGCGCAAAACAGGCTACCTCGATTCTCCTGGCTCAGGCACTTATGTTTCAGTCCAGTTCACATTGTCCAAAGGCTGTTTTGTATCCATTCTATTTATAGAATGTAGTCTCCGCCTTATGCACATTCCGTGGCTGTTCTAGCGTCTTGGCCATCAGAACAGCCTCGACCAATCCCGTGTGGGTCCCTCTCATCCTTTAGCTCAATCGCGTCTCCATTTTTGATGGAACACTTACAAAATAGCCCCTATGAGATTAATATGTACGAGTTTCAACCTAGTGGGAAGAAGTCGGACCAAGTGAGCTCACGTGTGACTGTTCTTCGATCCCCCTTATCTCATTGCAGTTGCACCATTGAGGTGAGTCAACTGGCGGCCAAGGACTTGGGCGCAAGTGTCGCTGGCTCGGACGAAAACGACTGCCCGGCCGTGCCCACTTTGCGTATTGCTGGCGCCACTGTCACTGAAAGCGACACCGACGGGCCGCTTAGCTCCAACGGAGACGCAGCGGCCTCGGAACAGTTCGCCTCCGTCTAGCCCGTCATCAAGAACCTAGCAGCTGCCACACACACCGGAAGTCGCTAGTGTGTCGACCGACCTGTGTCGACGGCCAGTGCCGACAGTCTTCTGTTCGTTTCCTTGATCACTGCTTTTATGGTCCCACTGCGCTTCTCTTTTTCTGTTACCAGGTTATGCTCTATTTGGTGATTTCGTTCTTATTTTGTTGCTAGATTCGCGCGAAAGAGGTGCTTTTTGGGACTCAAACTACTGGTAGACTGCAGATGAAAATGTAGTTGACAACACTTGCAGCACCGTTGGCGACACTTGACGACACACTCTGCAAATTTATTGCAAGCAAGCAGTGGCTGTAAACGAGAGTTATCTACATCTGGGTACATTTGCAGTTGACATGGTGGAGACGACTTGGAGGTCTTGTCATTAATAAAGCCGACCCTGTTGTCACGACCCCAACCAAAAAAAAAAAAAAGCAGCAAACTTGCAGTCTCCCACTAGCTATCAACTGGTTGTTGCAAGCATTCAGTCTCAACAGTGTCACGAATGGTTCATGAGAAGCAATTTCGCATGTAATGTTTGCAACGAGTATTCTTAGTCTTGACTTCAGCACATCATTAAGTCCTCTCGACAGCCAGAAAATTAATAATTTTACGATGCTTAGGCCTAATTTGGTAGGACTTTTTTTTAATTACTTCCGGTCTACCTTGACTTGCTGAGATATATACCACTTTCTCTGCTTAGGATGACTTAACAACTTTCACTTGCAGTTGACTGTCGCATGTAATGTTTGCAACGAGTACTCTTAGTCTTGAATTCAGTACATCATCAAGTCCTCTTGACAGCACCTAGGCCTTGTTGTAGCCAGAAAATTAAGAACTTTATGATAGTGGGGCCTAATTTGGTAGGACTTTTTTTTAATTACTTCCGGTCTACCTAGACTTGCTGAGATGTATACCCCTTTCTTTGCTTAGGAGCTTAGGATGATTTAACAACTCTCACTTGCAGTTGACTGTCGGCACTGGAACGCACGAGAGGTCGGTCAGCAGTAGAGATCTACATTGTGGTGCGGCATCAATGACTTTTCTACTTTTGCCTCCTCATCAGTCCCTCTTTTTGTCTGCGAAAAAGTCTCCCCAATTGTTGTTACAGCACGTGTGAACTGGACGCATCTCGGCTGTGCCGAGTGGTGTGGGCCACACCGTACCTGAACACGCGGCATCACCGAGGACTTGTTGGGGACGAACTCGTGCGTGCATGTGTGTGTGTGTGTCTGTGAACTGGTGAAACAATTTTTTCATCGATGAGTGCTCGACCATTGCATTTTTTTCCCCATGTTTTTTTTTTTTTAATGAACTTATCGTGGACTTGAAAGATCTAGTGATGACTCATTAGCATCAAAGGACATCTTCTGAAAAACGACTATTTGCACCGTGTCACTCTCGGGCGGAGACGTGGCACTTTTCTGCACGCCACGTCGTCTGCTCTGGTTGCTGTGTGCCAACTGCATCGAATTGAGTCTACGCTGTATTGAGCTGTGCCCAAAAGGAGGCTGCGACCGCCGGGCCACAGTCCGTACCCATTGCTCTATGAGCTGTGGCTTTTGAAAGCCAGTCGCATAGATTGAAATTGTTGGTTGCACAATGATGTCCTGGTGTCTGAAGCACTGTCTGATGGGCAGCCTTGGTAACACTTCTTTACTTCTGTCTTGCATACAGGCGCAAAAAAAAAAGTATCTTTACAAATCTAATTATCTGAAAAACGAAGCTCATAGGCGAAAAATGCTAATGCAGTTAGGCGTTCTGAGGACTGTGCGTGAATAACCACAGCGTTTACAGCATAGGAGACACAATTCTAGGCACCAGACGCGGGCAGACGTCAGCGTACGGTGTGCATGTACAGTGTTTTACACTTTTTTTTTCTGTTAGGTTTTTGCGAGGTGTATATTTATCGGAGAGCAGTGTTGGTGAGAACTGGGAACAAGATGGCCACTGACTGATCGTGAATTACTCCTTGTCTGAACGAGAAGGAGAGTGAGAGATTTGTAAGAGTGATGAGGGCTGGTATTTCGATGGCCACGAGAGTTTCACAATGACAAAAGCGGCTCGTATCTTGTATTTATTGTCTTTTTTTTAACAGTAGATAACGGTTCATCTTGTGCCACCTTATTCGAGTGGCCTTGGGGCAGCGGTTACTGCTGCTGCTGTTCCCTGCCGTTTGGTTTCACGACAAAACCAGCAAAACTGTAGGAACAGGGGAAAAAAGGGAAATGCTTTTTAATAGAAAAAAAAGCAAAAGCGTAAAGAATCCTTAGAGGCACGATCATGCGATCAATGCCCTGCTAATCATCCTTGCAACGTTCGCCCAGGTTAGGGTTCGTCCGTTGTTCGGAGGGTGGAAACCGTACAACTACCTTAGTGAAACGTGAAAAAAATTTTGTCCAGAACCCTCTTTTGAGGAGTTCTGGTTGCAGCGGTCTTGCGAGATGCACTCGCAGGGCGACGACCCTAAGATTACTTTCCTTTGGGCTGTGACAACAAAGGCTTGTGCAGGGTGGGAAAGATTTTTCTGTCTGGCAAAAAAAAAAAAAGCCAGGCAGACCCAGCGTTCATTCACTTGTCGCCCTTCTCGACTCTCTTTTGAATGCTAGCCTCCCACCCATGAAAAGGCAGCCTAAGCATTGCCGATTGTTTCCATGTTGAAAGGGAGTTAGGTAATGCGCCGTCAGCTATGGCCTTATTGCAATGATAACCACCGCATTGGCTTTCTGTTGCACGCGTCGGCAAAGCCATTGTACCTCAATGATCAAATACACGAACGCTTACTCACTTTTAGAAAAGAGAAGAAAAACTGAAGCAAAGAAAGGAAGTTACACCAGAAAAGCGCCACGTTGGCACTGAACTTGCTGCTTTGAGACACTGCGCTTGCAGAACTTTTGACAAGAACACTTTTTTTTTTACTGTGAAAAACCTATTCAGAGGCACAAAGGACGTTTCTTCGTCCTCAACCCCTCCCATTCCTCTTCCAGTTATATTTTATTCAATGTTTTTAAGGCAAGACAAAAGTGTCACAACCTTTCAAACTAAGCGTCCTGCTTCTACTACTCGACACTGTAGACAAAGTACTCCGTACATAACTTACTTCAAGAACAAGGGAGCTCGCCATTGAGTTCGCGCCGTGAAATGAACCAAAGGAAACGTGTCTTGCAACATTTTTTTCAAGACTAAAGCTGTCGCGCGTGCAACTTCTTTAAAAGAGGCAGCCCGTGGCCCCGAGCGGTATCGGCTGCACCCGATAGCCGAGGACACATAGACGACATAACAAAAGACGTAACTGTAACGTGACAAAACGTGGCGTCCTGGGCAGGACTGCCGTTCCCGCGCACTGCGACGACCAGACTTCATGCTTTACGCGGGTGGGTAATGGGGGAGGGGTCTCCGGGTGCCTGCTGCCCCCCTGTTCTTCAAAATGCTCGATGAGAGCCTTCTTTTTTCGTGGCATCAAGCAGCGAAGCGAAGACCGAGCCGGCGCGACCACAGCAATGGTTCTCTCTCTCCCCGACTGCATGCACCCGCCCCCTTTCACCACACTCCGCAGCATAAGTTGCATGAGCGATCTAACTTTTTTTTTTCTTTTTGTAAACCCATCCGGTGGCGCCGGACAAGGGCAGTGTTATTGTGGCATCCCTTGCTTTTAGTTTTCTTCTGTAGCCTCCCCTCTTCTTGCTATGAGTTCAGCTTTTCACTTGAAAAGTTAACGGCAGACGATGTTTTGCGTCGCCTGCCACTGTATTAGCTTTACTTCAACGCTAGACTGAATGTAGGTGGGGAGCCAGGTAGCCACAGAGCTTTTGTGTAAATGTGTCGGGCAGTCATTCACTGCTTTGCTATAGGACCAGATCCCATTCTTGTTCCTTTATAGTTTCCGCTTTCAGCGCTCTTACATTTAATGGGTAGCAGCTGCCCTCTCCCTTTTTTCATATTATTGTGCCCTGCGAGTTTTCACAAATCGCGTTCATATTGTAGTGGCAACTGCTTCTTGGTCCTCGTAGCAAAAGCTTTCGTGAATTTTTCTTTTTTTTTTTCCATTTGCCGGAACTGCTTTGATGCTCATAAATGTACTACTGTATTGAGATGAGTTTTTGGTGTTTGTCTGCGTAAACACTGGGCCTAGCACCCTTGATATTCATGCTGGGACACGGCATCATTAGGCAGTCCACGTGTTTTGAAATGTGTATTATTATAATAATTATTACTATTATTATTACCTGTGCTAGTAAACTGCTGCTGGAGTGGACAAACACAGGAGAGAGAGAGCGAGAAGAAAAAAAAAATATTCGTGCTTTAGTATTAACACCGAGCACCAATGTCTGCCACTGCATGCTGTGGGGAAAAAAAAAAGTTATTACTAGTGGGTGCACTGTATCGGTTCGTTAGACAAATGTACGACTGCAGTATTGCATTCTTGATTGTTTAATCTGCTTTCTGACTTTTTGCCTTTCATAGGCTGCAATGACCCTAGCACTGAGTGAGTGGGTGCTGTATTTTTTGTCTTAATTCCTTGAGCGAACAGTGTAAATCTTTGTGCTTTGTGAAGCTTGTCGGTGCAACGAGATGGGAAAGCCTACTTTCTGCACATCCAGGAACTTGGCACTGCAGGTTGGATGGCACTCTGCTGCACAAGAAATGGAGGAAACGCAGGGGCATTCTTTTTCTAAACGGCTGCAGCTGCTAGCACTCGTGTAAACCTCGAAATAAAAATACTGTCAAGCCCACTGTTTCCCATACGATTAGCCCAGCATTTGCATTCGGGGAGGTTTACTGTTTTCGATTTAGTTTGCAGAACAAGTTCTTGGGACTTGTAACAATTGTGCAGGTGGGTGTGCATGGCACAGTTTGGCAAGCCGTAGCGGGGCGTTACTTGCATCTGCTAGCTGCTGCATTAGCAACTTTAGCCTCTAAATTGTAGGAGTGTAATGATAAAACGTGTCCCAATTTAATCGCAAGTTAGTTCCTTTCTTGCTCGGCATTGTTTCCTCCATCTTGTGTGCTTGCTTCGTTGCGATGAAACTGACAGCGAGCCTCGCCAGTGACACCACAGGCTGGTGCTTCTAACGAGGGCTAATTACAGGCTCGACGCAGGGTGTGCGGCTGTTTTGTCAGGCTGCTGTATTGCACTATACTTCAACGACTTTTTTAGACTTTCACCTGCCAGAAAGCTCTGAATAATCTCACTGACTACTTACAGTTGTCACATCCTTATCACAACAGGTTTGTCTTCTTGTCAGTTGCAGTTGGGTGAGACTGGCAGTAGCAACGACGACAGATGTGCCTGTCTGGCCCGACAGACTTGCGCTAGTCGTAAAGTTTCAAGCACGGTAGGAGAACAATTATTGTGCAGCATTTTTGGTCTGCTGCATTCTGTGCATGTATTAGTCAGATCTTACATTTCAGCTGTTCATGCCAGCAAAAACTGGGAAACTTTTTATGCGTGTCTAACCTCCCAATCCCATTATTCTTGTCTGGCACTTGATCTTACTGGCACCTTTGTACAGGTCACACATTGGTGCGTGCCAAGGTTTGCATACGAAGGGCCCAGTTTGAAAAAGGACCTATGCATCCAGCATTAGTTAAAACTGTGCATACATCTAGCACAATTCCCCATCAAGCTTTACAATTGAGCAAACACGTTTTTTCAACACTTGTCAGGCCTGTACATTAGCTCTCGGTAGTGCACCAGCCGACCGGCCACAGAGTGCCGCGCTGGGGCAAGGCGTTTCTGAATTCTTCTGCATATATAGCATGTTCTTTCTTTTAGTTATTGTTATCTCCGAGTGCACCTTACTAACCTGTCTGCCACCCACCCCCTTTTATTTTTTCTTTAGGCCAACGTGTTGTAGTAAGTGGGTTGTCTGTATAATTGTCAAGTTTTTTGGCACGAGCATTTATTATGCCATGGTAACCAGTTATCTTGATAAGCAGTGTATCTTCTTAACATTAATCAGCGTCGCGGGGGAAAGGCCGCACAACGGCTGCGAAGAAAGAGGACCGGGAGGAGAGAGAGAGAGAGAAAAAATACACGTGGGGTTTAACAAGTGTCGCCGCCGCGAACTATAACTCCAGTTACTGTATGCGATTGCATGTCTTGCGCGGGTTTCCCCGGAAGCCTACATTACTGTCAATTTGTAACCTCTTTCTTTTTTTGCAGCGCATGGTCATTTCAGATATTTGTTTTTACACTTTCTCCACTGTAAGAATAAGCAGGATGATTCAGAGAACAGGCAACGGAAAACAAAAAGGCCTTTTCTGCAAGAGGGCTGGCTTAGGAGGCTCACCGGAGGCATTGATGAAATCGCATTGATGTGGGGATAATCAGTGATTGGGCTCGGGGACAATGCGGGGAAATCTAGGCGAACTGTCTAGGAAACGGCCTGAGTACTGGATGGTGGAATGAATTGTGTGACAAAGGGCAGTGCTGAAATTGCAGCGTGTACCGGGTTGAAAGTCGGTTAAACAGTCTGCGTTGGCGAGCACAGCATGCGTTGGGAGTCTCAACTTCGCCGAAAACGAGAGAGCAAAAAAAAAAGACTGCATCTGTGTGAGCTGGCGTCGCTGGGATGCCCGGCGTGTCAGCAGCCGTGCGTTGTCATGCTGGTCTCTGGAGAGGGATGTAATTCATGTGTTGCCAGTTTTGTGAATAAAACTGATTTGTTTTCCTCAATTTGGCGATTCTTCGATTTCCAGTAGTCGTTCTGCACATCATGCAATTGCCTAGCTTGTCGGAGAGCTTTGCTATGAAAATCGTCCACTTTGTACTAGCTGCATGGTAATTCGGCTGAAGTGATTTTCTTTTTATTTTTGGCATTCTAAAAATGTACACACATTTTGAATTGTGTTGCAGAAAAAAATTCTGTCTGGATTCGCTCAAGTCTTTTTCAGAACTGCACTGAAAATGACAAGTAATTGTGAAGCTCAAATCTTTTTATTTATTTGTTTTGCAATACATAAATTGCAACTTTTAAACCAACCAATATTTTATAGCAGAACTTTCAATGCTACTTGCTTAATTAAACAATAACCTGTGCCACGAATTTAAATACTAATTGAAAATGAATAAGTTATGGGGTTGCAAAGTTCAAAACGAAATGAAACCTCCAGAAATTACTGCTTTTGCTCTATTGAACCTAATATTAGCGATAGTGCAAAGTTGTTAGTTCATTTCACAGTCCTGAATACTTTGTCGGAGTGCTCCCAAGCAAATTTCATTTGAGTTAGGTTGAACAATGTGTCTATTGGTGTGATGTATTTAGTAATTATGTGGTTATTATGCTAATTTTTTATCAACACCTTTAAAAAGTGCTTTAAGCGATCATGCTTAAGACAGATGCAAATGGTCATTTACGGGTGAGAATCTAAAAATGTTTTGCATGTGGCGGGGACATACCTTACGCACTTTAAAATGTATGTTGACAGAGCACAATCAACAAGACTGTTAGAATGCTTTCGGGCTGTGGGCATGATTCAACAAATGGACGTATATTGTAAGCCATGATTTGCATGGTTGGAACAATCAAAGCACCAGTGTTGTGCTCCTATTCTTGTGTGGAACTTTTTGCTGCAGAAAACATAGGAGCTAGCTGGTAGCAATCCATCATTTTAAAAAATTGGGCATGCAGACAAGGACCCGGCTGGGGTAGTGGACGAACGGACACTGGCATTTGGTTTTTCGTCTTAACATGATAGCGTTAAGGAGCTCATTTAGCAGGAATTCCAGCGTCGGTGTTGGTTGTGAGCAAGGAATTGTCGTGTTGTACGTGACTGAAAAATCGAGATAGATGCAAATAAAATAAACAATACCAAGTTCTGGGTTCGAGTGGGCATCAAACCAGCGTTGCTTGCCTGGCAAGTGGATGTTCTTCCGCACGGCCACGCGTCTGCTTGTGAATACAGTGAAAGTGACTTTCTCTCCTTGGAAGTGCAGTGAAAGTAACTTCCATGTTCTGCAAACACCGCATCCTGTGTATATGATTCACAATACGTGAAATATTACAGTAATAATACATGGCACAAATGTACATTGCCATCAGACATCAGAACTGCGGTTATCATAATGACTTTATGGTTTAAAGCCGGTCATCCTACTATAAAAGGCACACACATTACTGTGTGCATTATGGGTAAGGCCACGTAATGGGGGCATAGAAAGTTTGAAAATATCTCGTGCACCAAGTCTTGGAAGTACACACTAAAGACAGGACATAGCTTAAAAAAGATGAAGCTTAAAGGTCCCCCTAATTAATTTCTGGTCTGTGACACTTCCTGTGGCATGGAAACCTTGTCTAGCAGAGGGTGTTCAATGATCTGATCTTGCATTAAATGTAGTACGAGTTACTGTGCAAGTATATCCATATGCGCTTGCTGCTTTCATGTTGGTGCAATGGAGCATCGTTCAAAGTTTGCAAGAGAATGCATATAAGTTAAGCTGATTGGTTTGATGACAAAAGCAAAAATGGCAGTGCAAATTTAAGGATAGAACACTGAAAAGGGACGGCAGCTATTTCTGACTTTCATTTTGCCTCCTGTCCAAAAGCTTACATGATTTCAGCAATGGCTTGGGGGTGTACGCAGTAGATGCAACGAATGGATGTATACAACTTTTGCTGTGAATCCTTAATCCATGCATCACGAGTAGCATTTGCATGCTGATTCAGTACAGTGGCGTACCAACTCTCGCGAGAGGGTGGGCTATGCCCCATACAGTGTACATGGTTTTTGTCAGATGTGGAGTTGTGTGCACGGTGTCAGTTAAGCATGCAGGAGATGCTACCCTAGAACTCTATAATAAGCATACTTAGGGAAGTCAGTTACTACATCAGTTTTAGAAGCACTGAACAACATGTGCATCAGAGAGGTTAGCATATGACGCATGTTCAGTGCTTACTGTAGCAATCATTAATGCAAAGCTTTGCATTAACATCACTACCATGCAGTGGTGTACGATGCCACTGCCCTTGGATAATATGCTAAGTCATTGAGTATGCACGTTATATTGAAAAGTAATGTGCCTACCCAAGCAACATCTTTCGGGGTAAGTTGGCCTGCATGAAAGCATCTTAGGTATGACAACCACACAATATAAGATTACAAAGCTTAGTTATTCATCAACTTGGTAATTTAATCTCCAATTTATTTTAGGAGCATTGTATAATTAATATCATATAACACATGTTCAGTGGTTATTATAGCAGTCATAAATGCAAAGCTTTGCATTAACATCACTGCCATGCAGTGGTGTATAATGCCACTGCACTTGCAGAATATTCCAAGTCATTGAGTATGCATATTATATGTAAAAGTAATGTACGTACCCAAGCAACATTAACGCTACCAACCCTATTCTAAAGCGGCCTAGTAACGAGGTGGTACATTTCTGATGTTAGATACATGCCTGCCAAACAGCAAGTCTTGCAGACCTTATCAGGATGCACAAATTTGACTGGCCCCCCAGTTACCATATGCTGTCAACTTTAAAGCAGTAAGCCAGGCCTCCTAGTTCTATATATAGCTTGATTCTGTATTAATCTTGATGCTGATGCCTTTTTTTTTTTTTCTCTTATGCCATTTGATCAAACATTCATATCAGCACTGCCAAAAATAAGACACCGTGTGCTTGGTTATGCTTAGATGTGTTATTTTATTGGAGTGACTTGTACATTGAATCTCTTACTAGTATATGCATGACCCCAAATGAAAGTTCGTATAGTTAAAAAACGTGCTGTAGCTATCTATATCTTCGAAAGAATATCAAGAAAGCAAAACTTCTACTGAACGACCATTTTTTATTCAGCTTTTTCATGTCAGTATCGCAAAAACGAAAATCAGTGGAGGCAATTTTTTTTTCTACGTGGAGGCGTTATTACTCACTCATCACTTCAGCCTCAATTAAACTTAAAATGCAAGATATATCCTTATGTCATATTTGGCGTCAAGCGCCAACCTAAACCCAGGCGTCGATGTATTTCAGCACTTATTATGTGAATGCAATGCTTTGCGCGGGTTTCGTATGAAGCCACCATTCATGCCAAGGTGCTACTATGCTGAACACAGGCGCTACATATCCAAAACGGTGCACGACTACCTTCCTTGTTAGAGCATGTTTTGAAACCCTTGGACAAGTGCTGCGCTTTAGGACACATTGGAAACTCAAGGATTTTACGCTTTAGTCAGCTCAGCTTTGGCGACCTGACGAATGAATGAAATGAATGGAGTATGCCCGAATCGCGCTAGCCGTGCATTCATTTTCACGCCGCGCTTCCATTCCAGGAGCGTGCGCAACTTTTCCTCGCATGCAAGAAAACGATGGCATTAATGATAGCGCGCAACGATCTCGTTTAAATAGATATACACGCAACAGCTGGCAGCCAGGCACGCCCATTCACGCAGCGTGTGTTACACGCCTTCGGCCATTCATTGGAGAACGATCTCATTCATATCGAGTGGAAGCGCTTCGCGTAGAGTTTCCGGGATGCTAACTGTAACTATCACAGCGTACGGCTCCGTAGGCCTAAGCGGCGCGAAAGAAACCGCCGCGAGGTGCCAACGGGCGGCAGCCACTGTTTACGTGCGTGCAGTCACGTAGCACCAGCGTAGCACGTTTGACCTGATTCGCGCAGGGGTCGAACTGCGCTTGCGCGGTGGATCCACGAACTAACGCCGCTTCGGATGACCTACTCGGACGTAGGAAACACTGTACGCGATCAGGATCTGGCGTTGATTCGCAGAAATACGCAGACTAATGAGCGTCAAGAACCTATTCCCGTAAACAACCTACGCCTGTGCGCGCACTCAGTTTCACGGCGCGGAAGAGAGACGCTCCGCGCAGTCCGCCATTTTTAAAAGGACTTATCGCGCGTGCCGTACCTTCTCGCCTTGAGCCGGCGGTTTCAACCGTCGCCTTTGCAGACACCAGTGAGCACAAAAGAACCCTTCGAATAGGCGAAGCAACGCCGGCCACGCTGTGTAGGCGCCGATATGGAATAGGAATCGACGACATAAACAACCCGGGCGCCGGTAAGGCGCTGCGGAGGTGTCGCCACCTGTTGTGCGGTTTTTACGTCACCGACCAAGATGGCAGCCAAGGGGAGAGCGTAATGTATGAAACTGAGCGCTAGCTCACTTTTTCGCATGTGCGTCGCGCGCCGTGGAAGCTCGGAACTGCAGCAGTGAACACCAATGTGGTAGTGCAACGGAATACACTGGACGTGGCCCCGATTCCCCTGGGCTCCGGCCGCGGGAAAGAACTGCGTGCGCCGCCAAGATGTTCAACGTCGAGCAGCAGCAGTTCGGCGGGAGCCTCCTCAGTCATTCTCATTATCAAAACAACATCGTCTCCGCCGCCGCAGCACGACAGCCCTGGTATGTCCTACTTTCGAAGCACGGCGGTTCGCGACAGCCGCGTTGTTCAGCGCATTCTGTTTCCTCGAGCAGCGCGACACACTTGCAGCATTCTTTCGGCCGGGACACGGGCCGATTCTGTGGGGGCGGGCTACATAACGTTTGCGAAACTGGTCCAAAAAAAAAAAAAAAAAAAAAATAGGTATCGTCGCCTCTTCGCGAATCGGGTACCAAGTGTCCCGGCCGTCGTTAGAAAAGCTTCGTTGAAACAGGACGTCGTTCTCGTGTCTCGCGGTAACGAATGAGGAAAGAAAACTACGGTGAGAC